GCTTTTGTATTTTGTACTTTGCCGAGGCGTTTTGCATTTTCTATCATCAAAGAAAAGTAGCGTATCTTATTCTTTTCGCATTGCTTATACTATATATTTCTTGAATCTCATTAATATCTAAAGTATAATTTTATTCATTATTATGACTTAATTTTGTTTATATATGATTATTCATATATTTATTGGATAAAGTTGGTGATATTTTATATCGGGTTTCTTTTTTTTTCATCCAGTAGCATGGAATATTTCATTTTTATTCCTGGAATATTTCAAAGGAATTTATTATATATCCGTATTTCATATTAATATTATAACTCGTATTATAAATATCCGGAATTTTTGTGAATATTCCATATATAATTCTTGTGGAATATTTCTGAAACATTCCATTTGTATATTTAGACAATATTCCATTTGTATAATTCCACAATATTCCAAACTAATATTTCCATTAAAGAATGGAATTTTATTAAAAAAATATTCCAAAGGCGTATAAAATTTTAATATTCCTGCAATATGGAATGGAATATTTTAGGAATGTGAATGAAATATTCCGTGCTTCTAAATTTTTTATTAATTTTTCATTTATATTATTTATTTATATTTTGTTATATATTTTTTAATTTATAGACAATTATTATATTTTTTACAAGAAAAAATATTCTTCTTTAATCTTTAAAAACTTTTTGTATTTAAATTAAAGTTACATACAATAGAAGTTGCGATGGTTCTATATATATATATTGTATAGTTTTGTTTATCCCCATAGGAGATTACACGCGATTAGCAGATTATCTTTTGCACGTGCCAAAGTTTTTATTCATGCTTGTATATATATATATATACATGTATATTTACATATGGTAGAGATTTTGTGACACTAAATGAGCTGTTATCTTAAAAAAAAATTTTTGTTTTTAATTTTTACTCTAGAATTATAATTTTCAATAATTTTTCTTTTTATTATATATACAATACATTAAGGGCATGTCAAAGTCGATGTAATTTTCCCATTGAAGCTCTATGTAAAAATTCTATCGTCTTTGACCTATACCCTTAATACGGAATATTCCATTCACATTATAGAAATATGTATATAATAATCCTCGAATATGGATGGAATATTATTTCAATGAAATATATATTTTTTTGGAATATATTCCATTGGAGTATTTTAAGTATTCTTTTAGAATATTTCTAGTCTTTTACTGTAGAATTTTGAAAATATATATCTTCGAAATATTTCCACTGTTTCACTGGAGTATTTTGAATATTCCTTTGGAATATTTCCAGTGTTCCAATGAAGAATTTTGAATATTCCTTTGGAATACTTCCATCAGTGTTCCAATCAGGAATTTTGAATATTCCTTTGGAATATTTCCATAGTGTTCCAATGGGGTATATTGAATATTCTCTTCGAAATATTTCCAATATTCCAATGGAATATTATATAGAAATATGAATGGAATATTCCGTGTTAATTGAGGAATTTTTTTTGCCGAAAATAAATATATTGGAAATAATAATAATTCTAGAAATATGGATGGAATATTCTTTAGGAATATTTCTAGTTTTGCATTGGATTATTTTGAATATTCCTTTGGAATACTTCCAGTGTTCCAATCAGGAATTTTGAATATTCCTTTGGAATATTTCCATAGTGTATCAATGGGATATTTTGAATATTCTCTCGGAATATTTCCAATATTCCAGTGGAATAATATATAGAAATATGAATGAAATATTGCGTGTTAATTATGGAATTTTTTTTTACGAAAATAAATATATTGGAAATAACAATAATTCTAGAAATATGGATGGAATATTCTTTAGGAATATTTCCAGTTTTGCATTGGAGTATTTTGAATATTCCCACGGAATATTCCCCGTCGTTCAATGGGGTATTTTGAATATATATATTCTCTCTGAATATTTCCAATGTTGCAATAATATTCTTTACAACTATTTCCAACATTCCAATGGAATATTATATATAGGAATATAAATGGAATATTTCGTGTTAATTGCGGAATATTTTGTCAATTTCTTTCGTATTTTTTTGTATTTTGATATGAATTTTACTAGTATTGAATTTTTTTAGTTTTGAATTGAAATTTTAGTTTTTTCAATTTAAATATAAGAATGAGAAATTTTTTTTTTTTTATTATTAAAATCACCTTATATTTTTTCAATTTTTGTATATTTGTTCCGCTCATATCCTTCTCCTTCTCTCTCTCTATGTTCATATTCCACATACGTATATACGAGCATCGCTTCGACGATATTGCGTATATTTGAGAACGTGCCTCGTATTTAACACAATTACCGGGGTGCTCCTCTCGACCCGCCCTATCTGAACTGACAGAGCAGTGCAATTACTCCCCATTATCTGGGTATTAGGATCCGCCTGAAATCGTCAAGGCCGGTAATCAATGTCTTAAAATTGTGACGTATATATATATATATATCTTCTATCATGAAAATCACCAAATATACATATTATTCAAAGTTCTTTTTTTTTTAAATATGAAAATAAGTTTTTTAGTAAAAAAAAAAATTTATATTTTGTTTGTATTTTTTAAATATCACTTTATAATTTGTGGTTCCTCCTTTTGTGTCATTAAACTGATCAACGTTCAAAATAGTTTGTTCCCTGCATTCTCAAGTTTGTAATATCTCTCTCTATATATCTTTTGAGAGTTTGTAAAGGAGTAATAACTTTATTAAACTTTTAATTAATTTACGTCTTTATGAATTACAGACTTTATAAATTAATATTTTGCGGTCATTTTAAGATATAAATAATAATTAATATAACTTAATTTTTTTTTTTTATAAAATATGAAGTAATATGAAATTTTAAAACTTTTGAGAATTGTTAAATGAAAACTTTTTGATTTTCACCACTAGAAAGTTATATAGTGAATTTTAAAAAGTTAAACTTTTTTTTATAATCGCCTTATTCGCGTTTCTATGCATATAATATATATACACGCGCAGCATATATATATATATATAGTTTTCACACTTTTGGTTAGTAGTCCAGCCAATGGACTCGTTAAGTCATGAAAATTGTCCTAAAGCGACGACAATGGCAAAATGTCAGACTGCCAATTAGCGGGATGATAATATTGTGCAAGGGCTTTTTTTTATCGCGTTCATGACCCGTGACGCTAAAATGTCAATCGAACATTGCCGGGACCACTAACGCGCTGCCATAAAATGCGTATATATATATATATTATTTGAATTGTGAGAGCACTCTATTTCGAAACTTTATTTTCCATTTTCAGTATATAATTTTCAAATTAAATTGTATAATTTGAAAATTATAATTATTATTATACCTAAATGAAAATTTTGAATTATTTCAAAATAAAAATTAAGTTATTAAATTACTTTTTAAAAATATTAAAAAAATTTTTTATTAATTAAAAAAAAAAATTATTAATTAAAAATATATTTATCACTCTGAAGAAAGGGACCTAAGAAGCAAAAAAATTATAGGTTATGTGACATAGTTTGGAGAGTAAAAATAAAGGACCAATTATCAACACGGAAAAAAATAAAAAGTAATTTTTACTACTTTCATAGTAAAACGGGATCTGTCCGAAGTTTCTGCGCATCTCTGGCAACTTTTACTCCAAAAATAGTAAAATTTACTCTAGAAATAGTAAAAATTACTACGGAACAGTAAAATTTACTACAAAAATAGTAAATTTTACTATTTTTGGAGTAAAAGTTGCCAGAGTTGCGCAGAAACTTCGGACAGATCCCGTTTTACTATGAAAGTAGTAAAAATTACTTTTTATTTTTTTCCGTGAATATTGGCCATTAAGTCAATATTAAATAAAAATTATTTAATTTTTCATTATACACTGAAAAAAATTTTCTTCGCATTAATGATTGGTTGATTTTAAAAATCGCGCTGAAATTTTTCTGTCGATTGTTTGTTCGGCCATTTGAAAATTCGGACAAATGAAAATTCTATCAATTATAGAAATTCTATTAAATGATTTTTCGGTTAAGTAAAAATTCTGTAGTATGAAAAATCGATTATATGCAGAAATTATATCAAATAATAATTCGAACAAATGAAAATTCTATTCAATCAAATTCTACCCAATAAAAATTCTTTAAAATGCCTATTATATGTTAAATGAAAATTCGAGCAAATAAAAATTCGAAGAAATAAAAATTTTGTGAGTTGAATTTTCCGTTATATAAAAATTCTTTAATATAGAAAATCGCTTTGATGTAAATTATGCCAAATGCTATTTCGAACAAATAAAAATTCGGCTTAAAACTAATTAGGACAAATAAAATTCAATAAAATGTAAATTATGACTAATAAATTTTAGAAAATCATGCGTCCCATTCGGGGGTTAGGAATTTTTTTCAGTGTATAATTGAATTATAAGGTATAAACCTAAAACCTAAAATTTTTTGTTTCTTCCCTTTTTTTCGAGCTGTTCCAATCTTCACTTGGAACAGCGATAAGTTTCTCTGGAATAGCGATATATTTCACTAATAGCGAAAACTTTCGCTGTTTTAATAAAATATATCGCTGTTCGATTTTTTTTTTGCGTACAGTTAATTTAAAAATATCAAATTGATACTTAAATCAAAACTTTTGGTATCAATTTCCTACTTTTAAATAAACAGTTATATGTAAAAAAAAGATAATGGTAAATAATTGTATTTATTCAATTTTTAAGATATAATGTAATTTAATTCTTTATTATTATAACTTGATATATATCAAGTCCAAATTTAATTTTTTGATTAATTATATTATATAACAATACCGATCATGTTTTCTTTTTTTTTTTGTCACGATTTTTTATGTATATACTGTGAGTATATATACATTGCTAAATAAGTCTATTCACTCTCCGCACAAATAGTTTTTTTAAGATATTAATTATTTTTTTTTTTTTTAGATGTATATATGGCACTGTATCAATATTACCGTCGAAGAAATTGACTAGGCATCCGGATTTCAGGTATTAGAAATGATATCATCATATCCTCGAATTGTCGAGGTGTATCAATTCTCAGCGATTTTGACGTTGAATAAGTGTTTGACTATGATGTTGTTGTTGTTGTTGAGAGAGGGTCACCGGATGTTGATGGATGGATTGAAAACTCGTTGGTGGTGAACCACGTCTCGGCAAACGTAACGTGGTATCCTGAATTGGAGAGGGTGTCTCGTCCCCGAGTACATCGATTTCGTCCTCGTCGGAATCAACAACAGCGTCACTACTTGCACGAGATTCTCTTCCACCAGTCAGTGAAAAATCAACCGGTCTCTCTGGTGAGTAGAGAAAAAAATTTTTTTTAAAATTATTTTCAATTATGCGCATTAATTTTAGTTATTTTGACATAATTAAAAAGTTTAGTTAATTCAAATAAAAATTTGGTTGTTAAAATAAAAATTAATTTACTTAACGGAAAGAAAAAATTTGATTTAAAGGCAGAACCAAAGATTAAGGAGTTTTGTAATAAAAATAAAATTTAGTTGTATCAAAGTTTTCTCTGATATAAAAATTTGCATGTTTTGAAAAATTGAAAAAATGGTGGTCCATTTGAAGTTTTTCTAAGGAAAATGCCTATAGGCTAGACCATGGTCGAGCACTTAGACCGATAATTGATTAATTTTCTCCCAAGACCGAATTGAGAAGACCCCGCGAAGTCTTTGCTATGTATAAGTCACTGCCTCCCATATATAACTCCTGAGAGAAGTCAAGGCAGTCGCCTTGGCAGCCCTCGCTTTCCCAAGGAGGATAACTTCGTTATATAACCACCCATCCCTTCACGAGAGGTAAGAAGCCATCTTGGCTACGACAAGTGGCTGGTGTTAGGCGGATGCGATGCGGTTCCAAGTATTACAAAAACTTCGATTACCCGCGCAAGAGAGAGAGAGAGAGCGAGAGTACGCGATGTCGCGTATATTCTAATTTCATTTCATCTCTCACTCTCTCTCTCTCTCTCTCGATATCACTTCGAAAATTACCTCGTTCTCTCTATAAAAGGTATCTTCTTTCTTTACCTGTTTTTTATTTTTTACTTTCCCATAAAACAGTAATTTTAAAATCAAAAAGAAAAACTTATTATTTTTTTAAAAATAATTTAATGTGAGAGAAGAAGAAAATTTTCTATTATAAAAATTTATGTGACGCTTCAGGGGAGAAGGGACCAAAAAAAAATATTTATAGTGATAAAAGATTCTGGCTTACTTAAAAAAAAAAAAAAAAAAATTTTATTGTGATAAGGGGCCATTCATTAATTACGTAAGGACGATTTTGGCTAATTTTGACCCCCCCTACCCCCATGTAAGGATACATAAGATTTTTCGGACCCCCCCTCCCCCTTCTTACGTAAGTTTTTAACAATATTAATGTAATTAAAAAATTAATTACATCAATACAAATGGAAAATACTTGGCAAAATCTTACGTAAGATTAGCTTCAACCCCCCACCCCCCCACGTAAGACCATGTAGAGATTTTATAAACCCCCCCTCCCCCTAAGGACCCTTACGTAATTAATAAATGGCCCCTATAAGTTTCTTTTCAATTAGGTAAAATAAAATTGAATTTGATAATGGAGACTCAAACGTTTTGTATATTGAGTTGAATATTTGCAGTTAAAGAATGACAAACATAACCTAAAATTATTTTGATATAAGGTCCCTTCTCTCGTGGAGTGTCATATATGTGTGATAATAAATTTTTTTTTTAAATTTTCACACAGTATGGCTTGTATGCGGATTATAATTTCTTTGATATACTATATATAGAGAGGAGAAGATAACAGACTATATATATATATGAAAAAAAGAAGTAAAGTATAGTTAACGATGTCGTGAGATGAAACGCAGCGTGGTTACTTTGGCAAAAGAAAAAACAAAATCCTTATATATCTTTAAGGGGTATTTTATATTTTAAAACAAGCTCTTGTTTATAACAACAATTTAATGTTTAATTTAAATTTCAGAAATATTGTAATTTTATCAGTAGTAATAGTAAATATTTGGTCAGACTTTATAATTTTTTATTACTATTATTATTATTATTATTATTCTTAATATTATTTTTATTAAAATTATTATCAGTTATTTATAAGTAATATTTAATTTAATTACTAGTAAAACAAAACAATTTTATGACATAATTTTGTCAGTAGTATAACTTGGTTTTAATCAGACCGACTGAATTGAAAAATAAGTAGTAAAAGTAAATATTCAGTCATCCGTTAATTTTTTTTGTCAACAGTACAAGTAGAAATTTAGTCAGACTTTTTTATGTTTATGTAATTTTTTCAGTAGTATAAGTCAATATTTAGTCAGAAATTTATTTTTAATTTTTGCAATGTTACTAGTAGAACAAGTCGGTTTTAGTTAGACAAAATGACTGTAAATAAGAAAATCAGTAGTAAAAGTAAATGTCTAGTCAGAATTTAATTTTGGAATAATTCTATAAGTAGTACAAGTAAATATTTAATCAGAATCGATAAATTTTTTGTCATTTTACTAATAGTAAAAATAAGTCGTTTTTAGTTACATATATAAAATGACAAAATAAGAAAATCAGTATATACACTGAAAAAAGGGTTTGGTATTGACAACCAAATGTTTGGTTGGTATTTAAGGGGGGAACACCAGTTGTAACTTTCGAAAAATCAATTTTTTTTTTTGTGCATTTTCTTAAAGTACACATATTTAGAAATGTGTCTGTAAATTTCAAAGTTGATCCGGTGAAAAATAAATGAGATATACAGAACACTGCATCGGCGCGTCCCGTGGCTTCATACAAGGTGGCCAGCCATAACTGACCCTAACGACAGATGGCCTTTTCCTATGATTTAGAAACGGCAACCACTGCGGAAGAGTTATTATATGGTCCAAGAATCGATGACTCTTTGTAACTTGGAAACAAAATTTCTTCTGAACAAAAAAAAGTAAGTTGAAACTTTGAATGCGTTTTTCTCAAAATGACATTTTCCAAGTCGGTGACCACGATTACTCGAATACCATTAAACCGATTTATTTAAAATTTAGTGTGCTTCATTTACACATATAAGTCTAGTTCGTGATCGAAGGATTTTTTTTTTTATGCAAAACTTTTTTTTATATAGCTGAAAATCGACCGTATTTTTTTAACGAAAATCATACTTTTGACTTTGACAGGTCGCCATTTTGTCAAATTTTTTTTTTTTTTTAAATCCTTCGATCACGAACTAGATAATCTTATAATAAATGTAAATCAATTTCATTTTTGTATTTCAGACGAAGTATACTTGCAGAATGCTGGTCACCGCAATTCGCCTTTTTTCTTAAGACGCCACTTCAATGGCTCATATCTCCAAAAGTTTTTGTTAAAAAAATTTTTTTTTTCTTTTAAATTACAGCTTTTTACATGTACTTTTAACTAATAAATAGTATTCTTTAAAAAGATTCATTGTTCTTTTGGAAAATATTCTTGAAAAAAGCATTATTTTTTGAGTTACAACTGGTGTTCCCCCCTTAAGCAACCAAAATTTTTTAATTGTCTCAATCAAAATTTGTTTGACACAACCAAAAATTAGAAAAAAAGGATTTTTGTTGTCCTAACTAAAGTTTGATTGGGACAACCAAAATTTTGTTGATTCAACAAAAAAATTTGATTTCTTAAATACCAACCAAATGTTTGGTTGTTAATACCAAACCTTTTTTCAGTGTAGTAAACCTAAATAGTCGGATAATTTTAACTTTTAGTAATTTACAGTAGCAAACCTCGGTTTCTAGTCAGACAAAATCACTAAATTCGACAATATATATGGGCTTAATTTAAGGTGTAAACGGTTTAAGACTTTGTTTTTACTGTGTAAAACTATATTTAAATTTTATAAATATAAATTTAGTCAGACGAAAATAAAAAAAAAAATTCTACTCTGAAATAATTTTGAAATTAAATAAGAGGATAAAATTTTCACTATTTCTAAAAAGAATATATAATTTTTTTGTTATTATATTTATATTTTTAGATAGTTATAAAGTTCATTTATATTATTATATAAACATTAAATATAACTTAAATGATCAGAATTGAAAAAGAAAAAAAAAAAAAAAAGAAAATATTAACAATTTTGAATAATGAGTTTACATATACTACTCGTATATGCCAATCAGACTCTATTGTGGTGAATATTAGCGTATGAAGCAAAACCACTCGTTCCGTAAATTTACCTATGGCTTTCATGGTTAGTAACATTAGCTTGAGCTGCGACATGGTCAGATAACTAGGTAATTAATTTATTGTCAGCGAAATTTCGACTCTACCAACTTTGATTAGCGTTAACTGCTAAGTGAACTATTTGCTACACAAAGTGAGTTTAGGATCAGTCGACGCTCATATATATATATATATATGTATATATATACGATCCACTTGATTATCGATCTTAATTAGAGAAAACCAAAGGTTTTCAATTTATTAATGTTTCAAAAATTTCCATAATATAAAGGAATCATTCATTTTTCTTATTTCGAAAATTTTTTTTCTTTAAAAAAAATTATTTTCATCGCCTGTGTAAATACATTACATCCTTGATATAAAAATTACATATTATATTTTACTAATTAAATTTAAACTTGATAACCGATTATATTATATAAATTTTTGACCACAGTGAAAAAAATTTATTTGATTCAAATAATTGACTATCAAATAAATATTTTTTTGAACCAAATAAATTTTTTTAAATACAGTTTATAATTATTTGGTTAAATATTTATTCGATTATTTGAATCAATTTTAGTTATTTCTCGCTAAAAGATTTGAAAATTCTTTGATTTTTACTAGGATTTAAATTTGGAATTTGAAAAAATAAATTTAAAAAAAAACAGTGTATGGGATGTGAAACGTTTAATGTTTTCGATATATATAGGAGAGAGAAAGAGAGAGAGTGCCTTTTTAATTGAAGCACTTCTTGCAAAATTAAATTAAAAAAGAGGTGATAGACGTACCGGCTGGCGAGGTACCAGAAATTGATTGACCTCCACACTGCTGCTGACCAGAAACTTGATTGCCGTTGTTGTTAGTGTTGAGCTTTCGCAGCTGTTTTTTATGTTTCATTCGTCTATTTTGAAACCAAGTTTTCACCTGCGTTTCAGAGAGATGTAGAGCCGCGGCTAATTCAACTCTCTCTGGTGTACTTAAATATCTTTGCGCTTCAAATCTTGCCTCCAAACCAGCCAATTGTTGATCACTGAATACCTGTCAAAATTAACAAGCTATTTATCGACAAAAAAAAAAATAAATAAATTTTCAAATTCAAAATAATCAAATTTTTATGAAAAAAATCCTGATTAATTTGATTATTCCCTTTTTTTTAAATTGAAAATTTTCTTATTGAATTTTTTTTTGAAAATTACAGTTCTTGCTTTTCTTCTTCGACAGTGTTTTAATGCTGCAAGTTCGCTGACACCGGGAACAACACCGACGCCCATTCCAGTGCTACCAAATAGTGGTCCAAGAAAAAATGCAGCAGCCGGCGGTGCAGCGGGATAACCAGGCAAAAGACTTGCAAATTGTTGATATTGTTGATGATTATGAGATGATAAATGATGATGATGTTGTTGTTGTTGTTGTTGATGCTGATGATGATGATGATGATGATGTAATTGAAGATGTTGCGAATGTGGAGGTACGTTATTTCTACTTAATATATCCTCAATTAAAAATGATGTTCTATTTGCTGACGATGTGCCATTTTGTTGTTGTGCCTGTTGTTGTTGTTGCTGACAGGTAGACTGCATTATTCTATCTCCTTTTTTTATTTCTTCCTTTAATTCAATTTTCCAAATTGGTTGAATCATTTGGAAAAAAAAAAAAATTTCACTCTAATTTCCTTTTACGAATTTTGTGACAAATGAATCGCATGATGCATTTGTCAAATAATTTTAATGTTTTTTCAAACATTTAATTATATTTTAATTTAAAAAGAAAAAAAATCGCCACTCACTGAATTTTCACTTTTTTTTTTAATTCGCGATTAAATTTTATTTTTTTTGTCACGTGTTTTGTCATCCACAAACCCCGAGTTGACACTGGCATAACCGTTTAGCCCCTATCAGTGCGTCAACCTGCGATTGAGCGTGGTTCATTTCACTCACACCCCCTACCACTGTAACCTCTCTTTTGGGGGGTGGGTTTTTCGTGAGTTTGCTTTGAAAGCGTTCGCGTATTGGCTGGGCGTTACAATTCAACAACAGTTGTTCGGGGTTGGTTCCAACGTGACGGAGGCGGGTTCTATTCGTATTAACGTTACCCTTGGTTACCATGCAGAGGAAAACGAGAATTCATGATTTCTCGTCAAGAGAGAAAGAGAGAGAGAGAGCGAGAGAGATGGTTTGTTCCTTCTAAAACTCTTGTGTATACAATACGCATATATTCTCAAATTTTCACACGAGAACAACCGATACTATATATATATATAAATATATGTTATGGCGGTATTCGCGGAAAACGATGTCTCGCGTCGCGACGGATGTATTATTGTGTTTTCAAATTACACATATTCGATATCACTTCTCTCTCCTTCTCATCCTCCTTTTACCTCAATCGTGAGAGAGAGAGAGAGAGAGGGGGGGGAGAGGCAGGAAAATTTATTGACAGAAGGTTTGCAATTTAAAGACAAATTCTTTTATAATTTTTTTTTTCAAATATAAACAAGAATGATAATTTTATATATGTATGCACTGACAAAAAATTAATTTGATATATATATCGATTACTTGCACACTAATTTAAAAGTATCAAATTGATACCAAAAATATCAAATTGATATAAAAATTTGTGTCAATTTGATATTTTTGGTATCAATTTGATACTTTCAAATTTGTGTGTGACTATCAAATAAATATTTACTTGAACCAAATAATTTTTATTTGAATTATTTAGATTTTATTTGCATCAATAATAATTATTCTTTATTTGAAATAAATGTTATTTAGTTGACTCAAGTAATAAAAAAAAATATATTTATTCGCCCGAAAGTTATGGACTGTGTATGAATAATTAAAATAATAAATAATATTTATAATAAAAATTATATTTTTTTTAAATCGTGATTTTTGGAAGACAGGTAATAATAATAATAATAATAATAATATAAAAAAATATATATTTATTTGGTAATAGTCAAGTAATAACCGCTATTTTATTTGAATCAAAAAATTTCAATTCGTTGCTTTTTTTATTATTAAAAAAATTATTTTTTAAAAATTTATATATTATTATATTAACTTGAAAGTATCAAATTGATACTAAATTAAATTGATTAATAAATAAATAAATTTTTATATCAATATATTAATTTTGGAATAGATTCAATATACTTTTTACTTTTACTTTTTTTTTATACTTTTTTTATAAATGTAATTTAATAGATTTCGAATTAAATATTTCTTTGAATAATCGATAATCAAGTAAAACATTAATTGAAACAACTAAATTTTATTTTTCAATGTAAAAATATTATTATACGTATACATATTAGACAAAAGTAAATTGCAAAAACCTTCTTGAAAAGCTCTCAGTGAATCAATTTTCAGAAGAAAATCAACTTTACTATATATATATACCAGTCACTTATTGGTATGGTATCCATATATATATAAGAGCAATGTTTTGAAAGCGAGGGTTGAAAGCAATGAAAGGTTTGAATTCTTCTAACAAACAAACATTTTTATGTATGTGTGTGTGTTTTTTATATTTATGCGGTAAAACTTATTTTTTGTTCTATATGAATTACAATTATTGTATGTCTGATTAAAACCAATTTATACTACTGATAAAATTAGAAAAATTTTGCAAGTCAAACTGCTATATTTGATAAAACTACAAACTTTATTGAAATGTCTGATTGAATATTGACTCGTACTACTGATAACACAGAAAATTAAAAGGCATTAAAATAAGCTGCAACGCTTATTATTTTCACAGAAAATTAAAAGGCATTAAATTAAGCTGCAACGCTTATTATTTTAATTCAATTTTGCTTATTTTAATCCATTTTGATATTAAAATAAGCAAAATTGGATTAAAATAATAAGCGTTGCAGCTTAATTTAATGCCTTTTAATTTTCTGTGTTAATTCAATTTCGCTTATTTTAATTCATTTTGGTATTAAAATAAGCAAAATTGGATTAAAATAATAATGCGTTGCAGCTTATTTTAATGCCTTTTAATTTTCTGTGAAGACGTAACATTTTTAAAAAGTCTGACTAAATATTGAAGTTTACTACTTATACTGACAAATTACGAAAAAAATTAGAAAGTTTTAAACATTTAGTTTTACTACTATTTTTTTAAAAATATTTTATCATGTCTCTTTAGAATATAAAAAATTCTAATTATAATATTTACCTTTACTACTGATAAAAGAATTTGATTTATACTATAATAAAATTAGAAAATTTTGACTAAATATTATCTTTTTTTGGAAGCAAATTATATTCTTGACTCGCGTTTAGTTTTTAAAATAAGAATTTTGACAACATCGAGCTTATATAGTGGCAAAGGGTGGCACGTGCCATCATTTAGAGGGGTTTGCTTCAGCGATTATTGAGTAAATTAACGACGGGTATGTAATTGTATTACTTGACGCGTGTCCACTCAGTTCTCTCTCTCTCTCTCTCTCTCTCTCTCTCTCTCTCTCTCTCTCTCTCTCGAAATTGCTACAACCAAAAGACAAACGAAATAACGTCAAATATCTATAAATTCAATAATTTTTATCATTTAGAATCTCTCTCTATATATATTTCTTTCAAAAAAGTAATTTCTTCAAAAAAAAAGATTTTTTTTCCATTTAAACTTTTATTTATTTAATAATTAATTTTTTCAATTTTAGTTATGTTAAAAAAATAATATTTTTTTTATTGAATAACAACAAAAATTTATTTTGATTATTTATTAACAAATAAATATTTACTTGAACCAAATAAATTTTTGTTTAGATTAAATAAACTGTATGTCAACCATTTTCTTTGTTTTAAACAAAAAACCATTTAATTAACTTCAAAATAATATCTAATAAATAATTTAATATAAAAATAAATATTTATTTGATATATATGATTATTTGAATTTTTTTGTATCGATTGAATTTGTTTTATTCCAGATTAAATTTTTTGATTTTTGTTTTTTTTTTTTTATATAAATAGAAAATGTTTTTATAAAGTAAATTAGGTTCGAAAATCGTGGGGTCTGAGAACAATAAATCCGTTACTGACTAAAGCTTCTTTCATCCCTTGGAGACTTGTTAGTGCAACAACGACAGTCGATTTGTGCTCCATTTGATATTCCACGATACTATATGTTTAATGCGAATATGTGTTGTATATAGATAATCCGAGTTAAATTAATAAATATTCAATTCAAATAATATTTTTATGAAATGTTAATCCGAAAAATTTTGGAAATTTAAATATTTTTAAATTATTTTTTTATATAAATAATTTAAAAATTATAATAGAGCATTAATCAATAATAATTAGTTACAGTAAAATATAAAATAAAATATACAGTAAAATATAAACACAAATTTTATTTTTATCAAATATTATAATAATGTAAAAAAGTAATATTAAAAATAATTATAAACGTTAAAATATTTTTTTTCTCTTAAATTATATACGTCTTATAAGATAATTATTTTGCATATTAAATATAATTATGTAATCGAAGTTAATATATATAATTTGCGATGCGATTATATATATGATTTTTGTCCTATCTTTATATAAATATAATTTTGAATATATTATTTTTCAAATGATTTTATACTATTATTGTAGAATTTAATATAAACAAAATTAATGAGGAAGAACACATAATATGAAATCGTTAATAGTATAATTTAATAATAATAATAATAAAAATAATTTAAAACCTGCTTTAATAACGAAGAGTTTTTGTAAATTTTTCTAGTTATATAGAGTTTTGAATTTTTTCCATTATTATAGATATCAAACGGTTTTTTAGATTTTAAAAACATTTTTGAATATTTTATTACAAAATTTCCAAAGATTAAAAAAAAGATATTTAGATAAATATTGTAATTTTTGAAATATTGTATAATTTCTGTATTTGAAACAAATACAATCTCAAATAATAATTATTTATTTGATAATAGTCAAGTATTATCGAATATTTAAATCAAATGAATTTTTTTTTCAGTGTATGCTAAAATTTTTCTAAAATCTAATAAACCGTAATTATTTTTTTTTTTATTAACTATTAAGTATATATTATTTTGTCTTTGGATTGATTTCTCTTTTTTTTTACAGAAATTTGGTTTTTTTTCAAATTAAATATCATCGTGTGGTGTTCGTTTATAAAATGCCCTTGAAAAACTTCCTGGACTTTGGGAACCACAAAAGAAATATCCTCTTTTCCATAAGAAAAAGAATGTCACACCAACTGGTATCACAAGAAGTAAACCAATTAAAATTCCAACCAAAATTGCTGCATCTTTTTCCGGTCTGGCATTATATAAATCAAGACAACGTAATTTTCGATGTTCAAGTGATGTTAAACTTTTGCCATAATGTTCCGGAGGTGAGACACATTTTAATTCATTTACTTTATCACCCATTAATTTTAAACCCAATCGTGGAATTATGTTGGTTGTCTGAAAAAAAAGTAATTTTTTTTTTTTTACTAAAAGAAATTAATTTCGATAATTTCATTTTTTTTTTTCGAAAGAAAAACATTTTCTATTACTCTTGACTCTCTCGATCGTAAAAAAGAACTTACCAGATATTGATTATCGCAATCGCAGCTCCATTGGTTGTTCATCAAATCCAATTCTTCGAGTCTGTCCCATCTTGCGACAAAATGCTCTGGTAAATATTGAAGGGCGTTATCTGATATCAGTAGTTTCTTGAGTGGAGGTCCTGTATTGCCCTTTGAATTCTATATAATAAATAAATTCAATTTTTACATTCACATTTTTCACATATATATATATAGAAATATTTTTCAAATATTATTAATTATTTAAATTAAATATTTTTTTAATTTTGAAAAATATTTTTAAATATAAATTTTTTATTTACAATCGTGAATAAAAATTATACTTACATTTAATGAAAATGCATTCGCATCTAATAAATTAAGATGGGAACAATTTTGAATTCTTAATATTGTTAAATTTGACAATTTTGCAAAAGCACCTTCACCAATTTGTTTTAATAGTGACATATTTCGTAAATTTAATTCCTCAAGATTTGACAATTCAGGAAAAGTATTGTTATAATTTTGTCCAATAAATTTAATTGGATTATTATCAAGTGTCAATTGTTTAACAAATTTAGCATATTCTAGTGCTAATGGTAGAGTTGTAAATTTATTTCCACTAAGATCAATTTTTTTTAAATATCTGAAAAAATTTTTTACATTTAATTAATTAATTTGATTTATTATTAATAATTATTAATTAATTGAATTAAATTATAAATTAAATAAATTTTTTTTGGTTTTTAAAAAACACTTACTTGTGAGAAATGTGAAAAATATAATGAGGTAATTCATGTAATTGACAATAACTTAAATCAAGTTCTTCAAGAAGTGGAAGAGTCGATAATGCAATATTTGTTGGTGTGTCAATTACAGTTAATGGATTTCCTCTTAAACTTAAAATCGTTAAATCTCTAGTATGTTTAAAAATACCTTGATCTAATGTGTGAAATAAGTTATAACTTAAATTCAATATTCTCAAATATTTCATTGGCTCATAACTTATATCTGAATAGTTACCCTTGAAAAATTTTTAATTAATTAAATTTCATTTTTTAATAAATAATATTTACAAAAATTTTTTTTATATTTTTTTTTCAAATGGCATTACTATATATATAATTATATTATATTCTTACCAGAAAATCATCTGGAAATAAAATTCTAGAAGTTATTTCATTATGACTCAAATTCAATTCGGTGAAATTGTTCAAGTTTATAAAAGACGCATCATCAATTTTTTTTATTTTACTTCCAGTTATGACTAATTTTCTTATCGAGAGTAATGGAAATTGCGTTATACTGACTAAAGGTGTATTTTCTAAAGAGACAATTTCTAATGTTCCATTTGGCCATTTATAACTTTTAAATGTTGTTTTTATATCCCATGTTGAACATTTCACACTATTTTCTAATCATACAACAAAAAAATCATTATCGAATCGTTTATTTATTATTTATATAATATATAATAAAAATATAATAATAAAGAGTAATGATAATAATATAATAAATATATAATAAGAAAAAATATAAATAAAAAATTAATTAAATAATTAAATTAATATTATTATTATTAATAATATTATTAATAATAATAATATTAATTTAATTATTATTTTTAATATATTATATTTATTTTTATTTTATTTATATTATTTTTAATTATTAAAAATTGAAATTATTTTTTAAAAAAAAATTTACAAACCTGTACATGTACACTTATCACAAATATTTATAAGGGAAATTGTTGAATTTATTGTTTCATGTTTATCCACATCTTTTACACTTGTTTTATTTTTTACTGTCTCTTCTTTTTCTTTTTCTAAACACAACGAAGAGGGAAGAATTAATAATAAAATTAAAATAAAAGAATAAAAATCCATTTTAATCTACTTTCGGAACTGTCCGCGTTACTCTCTGAAGGTTTCAGGTGTAAAGAATCGGTTTTCTAATCTAAATGGTCTTCACCTGATAACGTAACTCGTTGATAAGATAATATTTTAACTTCAATATTATTCATTGCTATGGCATCGCGATAAAAAAAAATACATATCTATATATATATATTTTTTTTTCCAATGATATCAATTTTTAATAATAGTTAAATAATAGAAACTAATAATAATAAATACAAAATAATAAAAAATAATTGAAAAATAAATAAAAAAAAATAAAATAGTGTAAACTATAAATAAAAAATTAATATTTAAAAATAATTTGCAATAATTAAAAATAATAATAATAATAATTATTATTATTATTATTATTATATAATTTTTAAATTAAAAGTATTGGAAAAAAAATTTTACACTTTTTTTTTCCTTCTAAAATCAATAAAAAAATTTATTAAATAGCAATAGAAATTTATAATTAACATTTTTTTTTATTATAAATTTTTAATTTTTAGAAAGTTTTTTATTTTTTAAATTTGCCGCTATTGAAATTTTTTCAAGTGCTGACACCTCTGTTACCGACTGATAAGCGTGCCGGGAGAAATGAAAAGTATTGAATTCGTGACGTCACAAAAGACGAGACAGTGGAAGGGTACAGACGGGTTAGGGTGCGTTGAAAAATGTCTGATTTTTAATTTTTCCCGACACCACAGTGGTTTTGAAAATAAATATAATATAAATTGTGTAAAATGTTTTGAACGCATTTTTAGAACGTTTGGCTATTTATTGATAATACAATTGAACACGTGGATAAAAAATAGTGACATTAAATTTTCAATAGTGGCTTAAATACAGAAAAAATCCCGACGAAAATAAAACAAGTGGAGGCGTGCTTTATTATCATCATCATATATATATATAGAGAGAGAGAGAAAGAGGAAAAAGGATTCATAAAATTTGTCTACAATTGAGGTTAGTGGAAAATATTGTCATAAATTTAACTCTTATGTTATAAACAGAGAAGTGCTTTAGAATATGAAAAATGGGAAATATTAAGATCTTTGAAGCTGTATACAATATTGAGGTTATGTTTCTATCTTGCGCCACTTTATACAAAAAAGTAAAATTTGTGCGCACTGACTCCAGTGAACGCCCATGGTGTGGGTTGACAGAATTGCAAGAGATTGATGCGATCGATATTGTCAAGGGTCCTGTGAGAGGCTTCACCAAATTATGCATGTTTTTTTTTTTTTTTTTCTTCTTTTTTTTCGTCCTCTTAGAGCTGATTCTTCTGTAAACTGTAAGGGTTTATCTCGTTGCCTTTTAGCCGGTCGCTATTTGAAGGGATGGGTTACAAATTTTGGAACCGGTCGATTTCCGGTATCTGTTTTGTTTTTCTTTGTATACTAGAATATCATGAGGTGTTTTTTCTCAATTGGATAAATAGTTGGATTATAAACAATTGTAAAAAAAACACGTGTTTTTGTTCTAATATTTCAGATTTTTTGTTATGAAAAACAAATTATCAAAATTATTTTTATTCATTAGCTGGATGTATTAACTGATTAAAATATCATCTTTTTCAATAAAAATAGAAAGGACACGTGCATAGGTGAATAATCAAAATCATTTAGTAATTTTTTTAAAGAATATTATTGTTTAGCTCATTGGAACTTGATAAATATATACCTTATTTATTGAGGGTGTATATAAAATGGTATGAAATTAAATTAAAAAATACCATCTATAAAATAGTGAATTAAAATAATTAGCGAGAATCGGCAACCTTTATATTATACGATTTTCTAAATTATACCTTATATGAGGTTGACTGTGAATTAAAAGGAAAAAAAAAAGTTAGAAGCGTAACAATTTATCTTATAAAAAAAAGTATCATTTTTTTTTATATTTAAAAAAAAGGGAAAATAAACTCGACTAACTAGTATTTATATAAATTTATAATTGAAAATAAAAAGATAATTTTCTAGATACGGCACTGCGCACCGACAGAAGCTTACTATGTAGTAGCAATATAGTAGCGGCGGTAGTAACTCCTTAGTTTTTGCTCCGTTTTCTTTATCTCGAAAGTGATTGTTTCCGGCTTCTATTATATTGAATTCAAATGTGAAAATGTGTATTATTTTTCGAGGCAATTTTTTGGGATCAATTTTATGAATTTTTTTATCTCAAAGGTAAATATTTATGTGATGTAATGAAACTTACACTAAAACACGTGGTACTTGTACATGCTGATTCGAATTCTATTCTCTTTTTGGGTAAAAAAATATTGTAGGTAATTTAAAAATTTGTATATGATTAAAAAAAAAATGTTAGCAATAGAGTATAATTTAAAAATAAATTTCGTTTGTTTTGTAGAGTTTGGAATATTTTCTTTTTTTAAAAAATAGTTATTTGTCTTATAGTAAAGTAAAATCTTCGTATAGCAATAAATAGAAATTTATTAAAGATTAAATCAGTTCATCTTAATTGCCAATTATGTTTTGTACGCTTTCTATTGTAAAGAAAAATTTATTTTTAAATTTTTCGTTGTCATCCTTGACTTGTTATCAATTCTATGTATGGTAATTAATTTCTATTCGTTATCGGCAAAAAATTACTATTTATATTAATTAATAACTGGTTCTAACAATAGGGATGTTTTTTCTATTTTAATAATTTATTTTTTTTCCCCGTATATACAGATATATATAGAAATGTTAATTTAATATAGTTTTACAATAAAAATCTTCCTTCATCGGCTAACTTGGCTATACGTGTTGTAGATCGTTCTTCTTTCGGGTGTAACAGCTGTGTCAAAATGCGGAGAGCGCTGAAGAATCCAAAAGCAATATTGTGAGACGAAGTTGGAGAGAAAAAGAGAAAGAGAGAAGAAGAACGAGTGGAGAATAAAAAGGATAATAATAAGAAATATAGCGGAAGATTGAGCTTGCTTATTCTGAAAACTAATTACGGCATTACACGCTCGAGGAACTAAAACGGAAGCTTTTAATCTGTTCTGAACTTTTAAAATTTCACCTCCCTTTTGCGTTATCAGCTTCAGCAAACTGTTGTTTATACTTTTACAACCGTTACGAATATTCCAATTAGTGAACTTTCTCACATTTTTTTTTTTAAATACTATTTTTTTTATTTATACGAGCTATATATATATATATTTTTGTGAAAGTTACTAAGAGAGAAAAAAAAACAATGGGTAAAACATCGTCAGCGATAATATTTTAAATGAAAGTCCCGCTTGGTGGTACGATAAATATCGGTTTCATCGAGAGGAAAGCGCCACTTGCGAGTAATGGCGCCTCTTTCACCCCTTCCGTCTTTTCTTCAGCACCCTCACAATACTCGAGCATTTTCACCCCCACCTTCTATACTCTACCGTCTCTCTAACATTTTCAAACCTTTACTTTAATTTTGAATTTTTCTCCTCTAAAAAAAACTTGTAATTTTTTTTTTTTCATAAATCATATTTCTCAAAAATTGAAAAGTGAAAAAAAAAATTTAGAATTTTTCTGATCCATCAATCGAAACCGGATTATCAGAAAGCATGCACACGATCGTCAATAAATTATGGGTTGAAAAGGAGATGATAATCGCCCTCTCATGTGATCGGTTTTAAAGTTCTCACGGCCCTGGTATAAATAACCCGATTATCCAGTGAAATCTGCGTCAGATATTTACTACTCTCTTTTTTTTTTTGCAATAAATGCCAATTTTCTGTGTCCGAAACGATAAAGATCAGTTTCATCGCGCTAAATGCTTTCGATATTTTATAGAGTATTTCCAGTATATATATATGAAAAAAAATAATCTTCAATTTATTGTTTATAACGAGTGATTGTTGCAATGTTTCGAAAAAGATTTTATTATGGGCTATTATTGAATCATTAACTCTCCGGATACTGTGCAATTAGTGTCATTTTAATTCACTTAGTTTAATAACTGACAATATTGATTGGTGAATTCATCTATACGCATCCTCTCAAATCTTTTCAACGTTATATTCGTGTTTAATTATTGTAATTTGATTTTAAAACTTTCGTGGCATGACAAAATTAATCGGTATTCAAGATTTATTGGAAATTAATTTTTTTTTTTTTTTTTTTATTTTGTTTTATTTATTTATATTGAATGTTTTTAAAATGCAACTCTTCACTTCTTGCCGCAGCGGTTTTATTTATTCATGTTGGAAGGTAGTACGACCTGCGGGGTTTGGAAATTCAAAGGGATGCTCGAAATGTTGTCTGTATATGTGAGTGGTTGAGTTGGTGTTATGGAGAAGGTGGTAGGTTGTTACGGATGAATACTGGTGTTGGTAGCGAAGACTTCTAATGATGACATTTAAATGCAGTAGCGCTTGTTCAGTGCTTCGTGGTGCGGCGATTCCAGGCAAGAAGAATACGGGCACATTCACACTGAATCTGGATCACCTATCTCGTGTGGATCTCATCCTCCTTCTCGATTAAGGCTCAATCGAAATTAAACTCTTTTTCAATTTATAAAAATCTTTAGGATATTCTATCGGCAAAACTCTCTTTTCAAATAATAAATATGCTAAAAGAATAATTTATTAGTTCTGTTAGAGAAGATAAATAGGTTGGTAATTTTAATCAGAGATGTGAAATGAAATTGGTCCCTCCTTTAGAAGATATACAATTGCTTTTTTGTTGAAAATTGTGTCTGATTAAATTCAGTTTAAATGATTTAATATTCTTTTAGTCACTTTTATTTATTTATTTAGTTTAATAATACAATTTTTTTTAATACAATGATTTAATTTGAAAATTTTTTTTTTAGATTGGAAAAAAAGGCCAAAGGAGGTGTGTGAGAATTTCAATTTCCTTTTTTATTGAAATAAATCAGGCCCCGGAGGACCTGAAATAAAACAAATGAATTTTCTAAAAGAGGAATGATAGGATGCAAGAGGGTAGTACCGCCGTGGCGTTAGCGATGGTGACTCCTGGTTACGATCAGGATCCTGCCAGCGGAGTTGCCGATTATACGGCACATCAGGACCAAGCGCAATTTGAAACTGATAAACGTGCTGTTTATAAACATCCATTATTTCCATTGCTCGCATTATTATTTGAAAGATGCGAGCAAGCGACGCAAAGTTCCGACAATTCGACATCCGAAAGTTTCAATATGGATATACAAGCTTTCGTCCAACATCAAGAAAGAGACCGAAAGCCATTTTTAATAAATGACCCCGAGATTGACGGCTTGGTAAATAAATTTTATTTTCTCATTTCTTTTACAATAAATTATTAATAATTTCATATTAGATACGATATATAATTAAATTTCTTATATTCTTTAAAATAAATTTTCTATGAATTTCAAATTTTTTTTTTAAATTGAAAATTGTTTTTTGTGGAATTATCTCAATTTAAAAACACTGATACTAAAAAACAAAAGTACGTCTGGAAAAAAAGAGAAATGAAACAGTTCAATTGTTTTTTTTTTTTTTTTTTTTTTCTTAATTTACGTTGCAGATGATCAAAGCCATACAGGTGCTAAGAATTCATTTATTGGAATTAGAAAAAGTTCAGGAATTGTGCAAAGATTTTTGCAACAGATACATAACGTGTTTAAAGGGGAAAATGCAGAGCGAAAATTTACTTCGAAGCGATTACAGTCATCATGGCCACGATATGGGTCCGTCCAGCGGCAGCAACGGCAGCAGTCCGTTACAGGTTAGGACATGCTTTCTAAATCCGCGCAGGGCTTCCTACCCTGTTCCCTAAACCTATGTAGACATCCTTAATAGTGAAAAGGACGTAACCATCTAGTTTCATGTTAATTAAAAAAAAAAAAATTTGCTTTGATGGTAATTGATGAAAAATTAAAAAAAAAAAGATAATGGTACGTCCTTGACAGTATGATAGAACCCCACCCCTGCTCTCTGACAGCTAGTTGCAACATATATTTGCCAGGTGCTGTCATCTACAGGCAATGATGTTGAGTCGGGAGCTAACGGACTCAGAGTGAGCAGAGGCGATTCGCTGTCGGAGAATGGGAATGCAGGTCAAGTGGTTATTCCTGGTGATGGTGCAATGGAAGCAGGAGCAACAGGATCTGAACTCCCATCTTCTGCTCGTTCATCATCGACTATTCAACGTTTGGATAGTAGTCAAGACCAGGATGATCCACTAGCACTATCACCATCAGCGATTCATGGAAGTACACCGCTTTCGCAAATTGGATCTCATTCATGTGTTAATGATATGTACCTCGGCCAAGGTATTATTCTAATTTATTTTCATCAATGGGTATCTGAAAAAAAAGTTTCTAGGATTTTACAAAAATCGAGTTTTAAATTCAATAAAATATCGCGATAAAATTAGGGTTTTTGTCTACTTTCGCTTGTAGAGGAAAACGATGATGCGATAACATCCGAAAGAATGTACTTAGAAGAAGTTGGATACTGGGGATTACTTCCAAAGCAAGAACGCGAAAGTGAATTTGAATACGTTGATGTTGGTCTCGTTAGTGATGAAAAGAGTTTTGGTTAGATATTTAATTTTATTATTTCGCATTTTATTTTTTTTTTTGGTAGAAATATTTTTCTTTTTATTCCAATGAATATGAAATTGTTGCTAATATTTTTTTTCGGGATGTAGATATTACTGTTGCAGGCTCACCATCTCCAGTGGCAAGCGATGAAGATGATGATGGTTGTGGAACTACAACTTCGTCACATAGTGTCAGTCACAGTAGTGCAAGAAAAGGAAGACAAAAACGAGGTGTCTTACCAAAACAAGCAACCAACATTATGCGTGCATGGCTCTTTCAACATTTAGTCGTAAGTGTTTTCTATTTTTTGACAAAAAAAAGAAATGAAAATAAAATATTTATATATTCCTTTTTTAGCATCCATATCCCACGGAAGATGAGAAACGTCAAATTGCAAGCGAGACAAATCTCACATTACTACAAGTAAATAATTGGTTTATAAATGCTCGTCGACGAATTTTACAACCAATGTTGGATGGTGCAGGCGCTGAAGCATTGTCACGTGCTGGTAAACGTAATAAAGTTTCAAAGCATGGAAATCAACAGCAGCAGCAACAGCAACAATTTCAACAACAACAAGTTGGTTGGCAGTCTGAAGACTCAGGTAGCGATTCAATTTCAAGTGATGGTGAAGGAGGTGCAACAAGAAGTAAAGACGGCAATGACAGTGATGAGGAAGATCTTCACTGACCTCTGTCGATCATTGAAACATCAACCTCTCTTCGGTACCTTCAAACCCAGTTGCTCACTACAGTATTAAGGTATTCGAGGTTAGATTTCGCTTTAACTGTCAAATACGTAATTATTGTTGCGATAATCAGGGATACTTGGGTAGAAGTTATCACGCTCTTCTGCTGTCTATCGATCTCCATATACACACATACACACACACAATCTTCGGAAAATTATAACTTTATAGAAGCCTGATAGTGCCGTTAAGGGTTTTTAATTAATTTAAAAAAAAAAAACATGCAGACAGTACACGAAAGAGTAGAAAAGGCGCAGTTTAAGGCTGTCTATTTTTTAAAAGAAAATCCTATCTGCATATTGACTGAAGCACTACTTTTGCAGATTGCTTCCCAATTAAAAAAAAAAAAAAAAAAACCTTCCCCTTCCTGCAAAAATGCTGTAGGACAATTTAAGGCTTAGAATAACATTTTTACCCATGTAAATCAATTTTAAGTACATAGTAAAATATTTATTTCTACATTATTTTTAACGTATAAAAACAAAACTTTTGTGGTGTTTACGAAAAAAAAATTCCCACTTTTTTGACTATCTTTAACTAATAAAAAAAAAAATCTAATCCCAGTAATTCTTCAGACTTGATAGAGAAGTAATTCCTAATAGTCATAATTTTAAAGGAATTTAGATAAAAATTATATATATAGATATATATATTACGGAATGAACAAAGAATAGAATGCTGATTCAAATGGAAAAAAAAGTGCTTTTAGGATTGATGGTTCGCGATTTTTCATAATTGCCAATCAAGATATTTTTTTGTGCAATAGTCATTGAGGGATTTATTAATATTTAAAAAAAAAATGCAAAATCGCATTTTTGACGCCTATTCATGTTTTTAAATGAATGTGTGTGATTAAAAAAAAAAAAAAACGTGAATAGACGATCCGGATTAATATTCTGTTTATAACACACAAACACAATTTCACGAATACGTAATTAAGAAAGAAATTATTTTTCAAATAGATAGAGAGAGAGAGAAAGAGATAAAAGGCGGAAGCTAGTTATTATATAAATGTTGTTTCTAATATCGTACAGAACGTTTAAAAACCAAAATGTTTTCATTTTATACTGTCGGCTACTAAAAAAAAAAAGTAGGATCAAGAATGCGCGTGTAAAAAAAAGAACTGCTTGTACATACACACGTTTCTGCATATGCCATTCACAAAAATCGTTTAGTTTCAATAAGCAGTTTTTTTAATTATCGTTTTTTTTTTTTTTTTGAAATTTTTCCGCGTTTACTTTCAAAGGTTTATTTAAATAATTAAATACCTTTCAATGATTCTGTTTATAAAATCTGATTGCTTCCAGTTTTTATTTAAAAAAAATTTCATTCCATAGTTTATTTCCCTTAATAAAAATTACAAAAAAAAAAAAAACAATGTATACGATAAATAAAAATTTTATCTCCTAAAGATAAAAAATTATCTCATACGAACTTTGAACTTTAAATCAAATATTGTCTTTTAGTCTGAAGCTAATTATTATTAATTATGGGAAAAAAAATTTTAGTTTATGAATTCTTTATTTTGTGCCATTTTTATTTTTATTTTTTTTTAATTAAAGAGTGTGGTAACTTTCACGCGTAGTCTTTGTTCACGTCTGCATCCGAAAATGTGACGTAATAAGATACTGTCCCTCCAAGATAATAATAACAAAAAAAGAAAAATTGCAGATGAAGAAGTTGATGATAATGATAATATTACTCAAAAAGTATAAAATATATAATAATTATATTTTTAAACTCTAAGTGTCGTATCTGCGCATGTACCATTTTTTTGTGAGTTGAGAGCTGGTACTGCTGTACATACAAAATATATACCGAACGTTAAAATATGAGTACTGAAAATCGAACGATTATTATTATTATTATTATTGATTATTTTTAGGCCAATAGAATTTGGAAATCCTTTTTCCCCAATAAGAAATGATGATACAATTCAAGATTTGATTCTACAAAGACAACGCACACATGCCATTTTTTAGAATAAGAATTTTTATGTTTGTATTTCTTCTACCCTTGACAATCATTTTTAAATTTAATTTTTTTTTAGTTTCTTTCATGATAATCAAATATTAATTTTTACAATAAATCAATGAAAAAAAAAATTAAATTCAAAATAAAAAGAAAAAAAAATTAAATTAAATGATTGTGAAGGGTTATTTTGAAGAATATACAATTGATATAATAGTTAGTTCCATACAATGTATATGATTGCGAGTCGGATAGACAAGTTTTTTGACAATGAAAATGCAAATAAGACTAAAAAAAAAAAAAAAGGATCGTTATACGAATGTGTATCACGGTTTTTACCTGATACCGAACTATTGTACTTTAAATAATTAATACTTAAGATTAAAGAAAAAAAAAAAAAAATGATAGTAGATTAAGAATTTAGTTTAAGGCTGAAACCACGTATACGTATGTGCTCCGGCACCAGACGACTGTGATAGCTCGGTGGGCTTCACTTGTATACCGATCGTAAACTAACTACGAATAGAAATACATATTATTACCGAAGAGGTTGATCGTACATTTTGAACATGAGTCGAATAAATAAGAAAAAAAAATTATTCTTCGTCCATAGAAAAAACACGCGTATAAAAATCGTAATTTTTGCATGTTCTCGATAAACTTACAAATCAAAAATGAAAAAAAAAAAATTACTTCATTCTCGCATACGTCATGTGCATTTGTGTATAACAACTTGTTCGAAAAAAAAAAAAAAAAAAAAACTCGCACGTTTTACGTATTTTCATATGTGACGTGCAATCCTGCCAATTATTATATCGAGTTAGGAATGGATCAGAGAAAAATATTGTTTATGATTATATTATGAAAAGTTGCTTTTGAAAAAAAATTCTATATTTTTGTTTCATTTAATGTTTATATTTCTTTCTTTCCATGTTTATTCTTTTTGAAAATATAAATTTATATTGTAATTATAGGTTTGTTTATTTCTAATTTAAAACATTGTTAATGTTAATGTTGAATTTGTTATCAAACGCACATTATGCGATTTTTTTTTTTTTTAAGTTTTTGTTAACAGTTGATAAATACTGTTTGACCTTTATATCTGGACCATTCCTATGCTCATTTGAAATTTTCAGTCATATAAGCTATAATCTATACTTCTCTCGTGTAAATTTACGCTCTGTTAATTAAGTTTATTAATAAATGCCATCACGCTTGCAATATATTTTTACTCTTTGAATTCAAAGTAAGAAAATATTTTCCCAAATGAATATAGTTACCCCATGAATTACAAATAAATAATTATTAATATAATTTGAAAAAGTAATTATATTTAAGTAATGAGTATTACATTTTATATTGCAATTTTTATTTTATTAAATAATATTGATCTTTAAAAACGAGTATATTTGCACGCCAAAGTATTTTATTCTTAAAATTAATTGATTTTATTTATTTATTAAATCTTGATAATCGATTTTATTTTATTAAAAAAAAAATAACTCCAAAAATATTTGAAAATGAATTAGGCGCCAAAGGTTGCGCACGCGCTAAAAAAAAGCCATTTCGACAATAGCATTACATTTAGACACATGGCTTTATGAATACAAATTTTTTGGAGTAAAAGTGAAAGAGAGTTTTTAATTTATTTTATTTGTGAATAAATACTTTTAGTGATATAAACCAATTATGGAAACAATGGAACCTCAGGTATGATGCAAAAAATTTCTGCACTTTCCTCTGATTTTCTTTTTTGCAAGTTAGATCTCTCAGGATTTATTATTTTCCACAGAATTCACCACCAACACAGACAGAAATACAAACAAAAAGACCTAATCAAAATAAAAGACGTAAAAAAGCACGACGTAGACCTTCTAAAGATATACGACTTAATTCGGGAAAAATTGGACCACCACCATCGATACGTCGGAGAAAGAAAAAAAAGAATAATTCAATATATAATATTTTTGCTAAGGACAATGTCATTGCCAAAGATCATGTAGTGGTGGTGAAAAAAGAGGAGAATTCAATGATGGAAGAAGTGGTTAATAATTTGCCTAAGGAAGAGACTAAAGGAATTTCTTGTCAAGAGAGTTTTCTTGCATTCTTAAAAAAATGGTTGGATGATAGAAATATTTCTCATCCAGAAGTCTCTGAAGAAGCAGAAGTAAAATTATTAAAAGAAGAAACCAACCAACAAGAAGACTAGAACAAATTATTCTGTTTTTTTTTTTTATTAGTACTTATTTAATATTTTTATTCCTTATTTTTTTAATAATGACGTATTATTTTAGTTCTCACATTAAAATATAAAATGTATTGATTTTATATTTTTATTTAAAATACATAAATTATATTTTTTCAGTATTACAGAGTGCAAAAAAAATAATTCAGAAATCATAACCAAAAGTCTTACAATCCTCTTTAGTATAGAATTGAAACTATTCATATTTTCTTATTTTATTATGAAAAATTCCTTTATTTTCGACTTTAAATGGTATTTTTTTCTGGATTATAACTGCTAATTTTTTCAGTTCATTGCACTGTATTAAAAATCTCTAATAAATGCAATCTATTTTTTTTATTAATTCAATATTATTCAAATATTCTTTCAGAGAAAAGACCAAGTCATCAGAAATTTTTGTAACAATTAATTAGGATTTGGCACTTTTATATTTTGAAAATTCCAAGGTCAATTCAATCGCAATTAAATAATATTTCAAAAAATTATTATTTCCAAGAATTTTAAATGTTGTCGAAACGATTTTGGATTACTTTTATACCTGCATTACGAGCTGAATGTTTACATTCAAGAACAAAGAAGGTATACCTTGAGCCAAAGGACATAAACAATACATTGATTGAAAATCCTGGAAATAGTAATAAAATTCAATCACTTGCAATTCGTGTATTGACCTGTTTAGGCGTAATTAACTTTAATGTATATTTTGTAATTTTAAAAGAAAATTTATTTTCTTGTTTTTATTTGATATTTGAATAGTCAATAGCTTCGGGAGTGCTCGATTTTTTTTTTAATTCACGAACGAAAACAATTTAAGAGTGTTAAATTGATTTTTTCTTTTTAGTAAAATTTTTGTATCGGGAGTGTTCGATATTTTTAAAATCGCGATCGCTTAAAAAAGTATTTTATTAATATTTAAATGCATTCTCAAAATTTTTCGAATTTTTTTTTAAATCGCGTGTGTTTTTAGAAGATCTTGCTGAAATAAATTATACATCGCTTTCAGACTAAGGTTAGTGATATTTTTTTAAATTATAATAATTACATCCAATTGTTTTTCTATCAAAACATTTTAAAAGTATTAAATTTTGTTAAAAAATAATTTATTACTATTATAAAATTTAAGTTGCCACCAATTATAAAAATTTTAATTCAATTTTATTTTCATCGGGAAAAATAATAAATAATAAATATCAATGTATTAAAACAATTTTTATTTTTGCTAATTAATCAGTCAAAAATATTATTACAAATTGTAACAGTTTCACGTGTTTTTTTTTCTTTTATTATCTATAAATAATTGAAATCAAAGTTATTTACTCATAATGATTATTAATTATTACAAAAAAAAGAATAATTTATGAATTTAAATCACAGTAATATTCAATTTTATTTCTCTTATTTTTCTCTCTCGAAAAGAGAAATGTATATGTGATTTTTTATGAATCGTGTTTATTTTTTCGAATTACAATATAAAAAACAATTGTTGACCTACTTTTAAAAAATTAAATAAATAACATCCTGCGTTCACTCTCATCTAATTTCACATTCAATTCAGTCTAGTGTAAAAAAATTTATCCTATTTCTTTTTTTTTTTCTCCTGATATACGGCAATCGTACAAAACACTCATAATTTGATTGAAAAGAATTTTGAAAAATTAAATATTTAAAAAGTATTCTAGAAAATAATACTATTTTTGTTTTAATAATTTGAATTTTTAACAAATAAAATAATGAAAATTTAATTCATTCATAAAAAAAAAATTATTACGATGATTGCAATTTTTTAGTATTAGTATGAATTTACTCTAAATATTTCTTCTTTTACTTTCGTCCCTTTTTTCACAATGTAGAAATATTAAGTTCATTTTTTTTTTTTGGAGAAAAAAATTTTTTTTTCTTCCGAGGGCGACCACATTTTATAAAGTAGTTATTGGAAATCTTGTTTCTTGTTGATGATTCAAAATTTTCATTGCTATGTGGTCTGCAGCGTGTTTCTACAGGTCAGCAGTTCTAGTTAAAATAATATTTTACTTTAAAAAAATTGTCAAATGAAAATTATGATCAGAAGAAATATATATAATTTTAATTAATTACTATAATTATAAGTAGAGTGAGATATTTACCTTGAATTAAAAATGATTTTCGAACGAGAATTAATAAACCAAACAACAATGAATGATAGAATTGATATGGAGCTTCCTAAAATTAAGCTGAGCCGTTCAGTTGCTGCTGAGGGTTTTAAAAACATTCTCACACTTAATGAATCCCAAACTGATTCAGTCCACGTGGAATAAACACCAGAAGTCATATTGTATTCTGTAAAAAAAAAAGAAAAATTACAATTTATTTAGGAATTAATTATTTAGGAAATAAAATTAATTTTTCTAATAATTGAATAATTTAACCTGGAATGATAAATGCAGGACTAATAGCTGATGTAGAGTAGACAGTTGAATTTATACAAATTCCTGTAGAATTATGTTTTTCACCCTTCATCCAAGCTAAATGTTTTTTATAACAAGTGGTAGAATTTAAATCAGGAATTTCTTCTCCTGTGAGAAGTGTCAATAATTGTGATGTTACATATGTTGCCACATTACTCATACTATTGACACTAATATATAATGGTAGTGTACGATTAGTAATTACATTTCCCGGTGGAATAGCCGCAGTGAATAGAGAACAATTTGCACTATCCAAATAACATGTTAGCATATAGGTAATAAGTTGTTCCACATCTTTATTATTTTTTGGCGCATCTTTACCCATAATATTTTTATACAATACATTACCAAGATTAATTGCCACTTTTGCTAGACTAGCATTAAGATTCATTTTATAATCAACATTTTCTTTATCATCCAAGAAACTGTGATAATAATTATTTGTAAATTTTTCACCATAATCTGTTAAAACAATAGTGGGTAAAGTGGAATTTTCTTTTAAAAATGATTGCACAGAAGTTGGTGGAACACTGTCTTTTAAAATTGTAGCAGCTAAAGATGTTTTCAAATCCAATACTATCTGATTATTTTCCATATTATTCGTGTGTAAAAATAATTCGCCTGTACTCAATTGTCCTAATTCGATGACAGTTGAAATTTGTTTTAAATCTAAATTTTTCCCACTAAATTGTTTAAAGTTTCCTTCCTTTAGATCGTAGACCATTTTACTCGAGCCAATATAATCGTAAGCCTCTCCATTTAAAAGTGAGAACATAATAGTCGTATCTGTAAGATATGATTTAAGAATGAAAAGAAAAAAATTTAATTAGGAAAGTAAAATTAATTTTTACTCACCGGTTACGTTAATTGGTAACGAATTTAGATAAAAGGCAGTAGCAAGGAATGTCACTAATCCTGTAACTGTACCCCGTGCACCTGGTACCAAACCATCGAACATTGAAGTTGAATCTAATCTTGCCGTAATTAATATTATGGAATTATTTTCTTCAATTACTGGTGATAATGACCAATGTATATTTTTATCTCCTAAGGGCTCACAAAACATTATTGAACGTATATTGGCTAGTGCATTTCGCCTTAAACAAGTTCGTGTGTCAACTGCAGCGAACATAAATGATTTCATTTCCAAGGCACAAAGCGAACGTTGCTTTTGAGTCTCCAAATTATGAGCATTGTGCTTTAAATAACATGATCTTATTTCATCGAGTGCTTTCTCATCCTAAAAATATATATTTTTGTGAAATTCTTTGATAGTTAAAAAAAGGGTATTTTTTTCAAAAACTTACTTCCATGAAAAACATTGGAAAGGGCCAATCTTCCATTAAAATAGCCGAACCATGAGGATTCCAAGGTTTAGTATCATTACATTGTCTTGCACCTGAATAACGATTAGGACAAGTGTCCTCGGGAGAATAAAATAAAGGACGACTTTTTTTCGTATTTGTCATAAGTACGCCATTTACTTTGTTTGTCATTTTTACTCGAAACAGAGTATCTTTCGTAAACATTGAAAATGATACCACTGCAATGTATGGATCGGCAGTAGCATTATTCTCGAGCCATTTTAAATCCAATTCATTTTCAATAAAATGAATTGCACCTATACTACCAGATCTACTTGCTGTAAATTTAAATTTAAAAAAAAAATCATTAAAATTTGTCGTATATTCAATTATTTTAAAATTAACCCAATGAACATAACCTCCAAATTAAAGTTAAGTTAGTTAATACAAAAAATATTTTTCATGGGTTAATAATTTTAAAATTAAAATAAAACATTAGAAATAAATGAAAATAGATGAAATAAACAATACTTACAAGAACAACCAAACTGGTGAGTACCGTTTTGTCTACGAAAACAAGCAGCAACATTGTCAATTGATGTGTAAATCAAATCTTTTATTCTATGTTCAGCAACTATTAAAACAAATAATAGGGTCAATTGAAACAAATAATAAATAGGTTCGATATAAAATACCAGTGTTTTTATAAACAATTGTTTAATAAAAATGTCAAAAACTCACCAACTTCTAATGCAGTTATTAATAAAACAAATTTCCAATTGAACAATTTTACCATCATTTTTGTTTTTTTTTTTATCTTTTAAATTATCAATAAAACAAATATAATCGTGTCATCTAAGTGAATTTAGAGAAAAAAAAAATAATTATTGACAATCCACCTGTCAAAAGAAGTGTCAAAAAATTGGAAACTCCTATACTAAAAACGTCATTTTTACAACTGTTGTGATGTGTTTTTAAAAGTGACCACATATACAGTATTGGCGCTAGTTGTCTAGATTGATATCGTCGCAGAATATATATGAATCACTTTTGCGCAAATAATTACAAACAAAGCTATTTTTTAAAATTAAATTTTGTACTAATTTTATTATAATACAGGATACTATTCTAGGAAACAATTACTCAATTATTACTTTGTTGGAATGAGGTGAAAATTTTTCAGTACCTTTTAGCTAATTATTTTGAAAAAATTTGCTTCCAAAAATATTTTTGCAGAAAATTAAATTAAAAATCTAAAAAAAAAAATTGAATCATATGAAAAATTTAGTGATAAAAGTATAATTTAAATAAAATTTATTTCTTCTGTTTTTTAAATATTTCAAAGATAATATAAATTATAAATTAAATTTTTATGAAAAAATATTTAAAGATTCAAAAAAAAGGATTATTTTTGTTTCATAAAATTTTCCAAACTATTTTTATGATCGTGGAATTAAATGTATAACAAAATTTAATAAATTTAAAAAATATCTGAGTATTTTAAAAATATTAAATTACAATTTTAAAAATGTGATTTTCTTTTTAATTATAGGAGAAATTTTCTTAAATTTAGAATAATTTTTATTTTTAATGTTAATATTGCTAAAAATGTACATGGACATTTTTTTTAACAAGGAAAATATGTAATTTAATTAGTAGCAATTTTTTTTTTTTTTTAATTTACAGTTGTAATTTAAAAAGAAAAATTAAACGCATTATATTTATTAGATATTCTAACAAATATTTACAGTATATATTTATATCTAATTGCTATAGCACGTGAGCCAGATGCACGTGCAGGTCAGGCGATTCAAGTTAAACGAATGTTGCGAAAGATTGTGAAAATATAAATACCGCGTTTAAATACTAAATATATATGGTTAAAAATTATTAATTATGAATTTGAATTAAATTTTATTATTTAAATAAAATATAGAAGAAATAATTCAATATTAATTTATTTCAAATTTTCGAAAAAATTCCGGTATAATTTTTCGGTAATCGCTTTTGGCAAATTCAAACAAATGAGGCATTTCATATGAGAATAAAAAAAAAAAAATTTGAGCAATATTTTTTTAATTTACTTATAATTTTTTTCCTACTAAAAATAGAGAAAAATGTTGTAAATGTTTTCTACGCAGCAGACCTTAAACTTATAGAAAAAAATTATTTTAAAAAAAAATATTTTTCTAAATAACATTTTATAATTAATTTTTTATTCTTATGGTAATACTTAATATTCTTTTTTTTTGACACAGAAATTAAATGATCTTCCAAATAAAAAAAGAATTGACGATTTATCTTCATTATTTCAAATAATATTAATTATGTAAATAATTTTTATTATTAATTTATTAATTTAACGCCCGTTTATTAGAAATAGTTCATATATGGCTCGTTGAATGCGGATTTTGATAAGCATTCTAATGGTGTTTTTAAAATTACTCTAATTTTATTTGTTCGTAAAATATTTCATTTTTTATTTAACTAAAATTATTATTATTATTATTTTAATAATTAATATTAATATTAATATTATTATTAAATTATGATATTAATTTTTATTAATTATTATTATTTTTTTTTTTTAACTAACAAAAGTTAGTTAAATAATTAATATTTCGAAAACAAAAAATAATGCCATCTCAAAAATTTAACCATCGAATTTAACCATTATGAGTTAAACAATATTCATGATTTTTTTCGCGCTTCTAAATGAGAGAGAACATGTTTAAAAGTTATAAACAAAGTTTATTTTTTGAACAAATTTTTTAAAAATTAATATATTTTTTTTTAAATAATTTTTTTCTAAAAGTTTAAGGTCTTCTGCGTAGAAAACATTTGCAACATTTTTCTTTATTTTTAGTAGGAAAAAAGTTATAAGTAAATTAAAAAAATTTTGCTTAAATTTGTTATTGTAAATATCTTGAAAAATATTAAAAATATTCAAAATTTGTACACTTATTTAGAACCACTATAACTATAATTTATCGAATTTTGAGAAAAATCCGAGACATGACCCCCGTATTCTTATATGAAATGCCTCATATATTTAATTAGTTGTATTTTCTTTGCTTTATAATATTTAGTAGAAAAAAAATATTTAATTAGTAATAATTTTTTTTTTATTTTATAATATAAATATTTTGTTTTTTAAATAATGTAATTGTAATGAAAGGGGGAATATTAATTTTTAACATTTAGCAGAAACGTGCCTCACGTGAATGTACGAAAGGACATTCACGTGAGGCCCTGAACTCGATTTGTTCCAAATACTTTATAAACTTGTTGCCACGTGATTTTACGATACATTAATGTTACTTTCCCCCAGGTTGCAACACAAGCATTTAACTACATCCCTATAACCATTATACCAGTTGTGTGAAATCCTTTGAATCTATCAGAAGCTGAGTCCTGATGTCTTTTCCACCTGAAGGTACTTTTTTTATTTTTATTAATATAAATTTTTTCGAGTATTTTTTTATAATAAATTTTTGTTGCCCTAACGTAAAATGTGTATTAAAAACGTAAGTATAATTATTTATTATTAATTAATTAATTAACATATTAATAATTAATAATATTAATTACTAATATTAATTAATAATATTAATTAATAATATTAATTATTAATATTAATTAATAATATTAATTATTAATATAATAATAATATAGTATATAATTATAGTAGTTAATGTTATTAGTTAATATTAAAATTATTGTTTAAAAATTTGTTGTAATGATTTTCTAATATTATTTTAAAATATTTTTTATATACAATAATTATGTGAATATATACAGATGTTGGAATTAATTAGTCCCATGAGATCGGAAATTATCAACATTGATAATGAACATTTTAATACGGCATTGACATTAAAATTGGAGAAAGATGAAAATAAACAAATAATAATAAAAAAAGATGAACCAGCTGTGGGTGAAATTTCTTTGACAACATTAAATTCCAGTAGTTGTACAGTTTTGAAATTATTACACGTCGATGACTGTCCTAAATTAACATCACAAGGTATATGTATTTATTTAATAAATAAATTAAATATATTTTAATGAATAATTTTCATTAATTTATTATAAATATTTAATAAAAAAAAAATTATTCTAAAAAATAAATATCTAATAATAATTATAATAATTATAATTATCTAATAATAAATTGAATTAATTTTTATTTTTATGCAATTAATTAATGCAAATTTTTAATTTTGAATAGAAATAATGGCATTGGTTAACCATTTCAAGAATCTTCGTGATGTGTCCCTTTCATTTTCACTGATTAGTGACAATTTGCTTGAGGCTATAAGTGATGAACATGTTCAATTAGAAACTTTGCGAATTGAAGCTCATTCGGAAACAAAATCACTTCCCTTTGTCAGCGATAAAGCGTGGCAATATTTTTCCAATCATTCACCTAACATCAATTTAGTTTTGTGAGTTACCAAATTTTTAACTATGGGCAAGTACCAAATAAACAAACAAAATATTTTAATTTTTACTAATTTTTATTTTCAATAATACCCCAAAAAAAAAAAATGTAATTTTAGTGATAAAAAAAAATGTTTCATAAGAAATAAATTTTTTCTTTTTTTTTTAAGTGGTAAATTTTTGAGTTAGTTTCCCGATTTTTCTTTTTTTAGACAATCATATTTAACAGAGGAAAATGATTATAAATTAATACTAAAGCCCTGCGTTCCGGTAACACATCTTTTTTTGGGCGATAGCACACCGTCAAATATAATTGATGATGTAGCAAATTTTTGTCCTGGTCTCAAAGAAATTGTTATTGCTGCTTATGGTCCTGATACAATAGACACGACATTGTTATTAATAGCAAAAAAATGTACTCGAATTTCTGCTATTGGACTTGGTGATTGTGAAATTACGTACGATAATAATATTACAATTTATGAATTTTCCATTTTTTTTTCAAATATAAATTAGAAATTTAATAAAATAAATTAATTAATAAAATTTTTGATTTTAGATGCAATGCACTTTTGGAATTTATAACATTATGCTGTGAACGTTTAAAGACATTTTATATTTGGGAAACATCAATTCAGGAAGATTCAAAAATGGATATTGAAACTGTATCAGCAAAAATATCTTTATTATTGGGTCGCACTTGGAATCCAGAGTCTGTGCCTTTTTGTTAAAACTTTTTTTTTACATAAACTTTTGAGCCTCGCGGTAAAAAAATTTTTTTTTCGTTTCAAAAAAATATGGCTCAATCAAGACTGATAAGATTTTTTTTTTTTTTTTTTGAATATGAAAAAGTGAATTATATATTCACTATTTAGATAAATATGCAGTTATCAATTTTGATTATTTACATTTCGTCTCTTTAAGAGGGGATAAGATAAAGAAAGGAAGAGCAAATATATAAGTAGAGGGGGGGGGGATTGGAATTGACCCTTCGCTCTGACCTACGGATGATGATATACTATTTCGTTGGAGTTTACTGATCATCAGTCAAGTACATCGTTCATTTTAATATGTTAGACAATTTAAGTGTATTTGGACCGGAAATTAAGTGTTTTTTTTTATAATTTTAAATTGTTTTTTTTTTTTTTTGCAAAGCAGTAAAAAAAGAAATAGAAAAGGAACAGTTATTTCATCAAATAATGGAGATAAATTTGAGGAAAATATTCATCCTTTGGTGTATTCTTGTCTATGTTTGTAGTTGTACACGTGGTATGTATTTTTTTTTTCTATCCTGTTTATAAATTATATACAGCATTTTTTTTTGATATATTTTGTAAATAATTTTGCAAAAAACAAAAGTTAAAAAAAAATTTGCGAGAAAAAAATCTCATAAATATTTGTTTTAAATAAATTTTATTTGCTCTTTAAATATGAATTAGTAAAAATGTTTACTAATTTGAATTAGTGACTCACTTTTTGCTTTAGAATTAGTTAAATTGTACTAATTGTTAGTATTACTAACAAAAATGTAAAAATGTATTACTAACAATTAGTACAATTTAACTAATTTTAAAGCAAAAAGTGAGTCACTAATTCAAATTAGTAAACATTTTTACTAATTCAAATATAGAGAGTGTGTTAAATTAAAGTTTTGCGAAAACAAATTTTTTTTTGTAACAAATTTAGTTTTTTCTGTGATAATTAATATTTTCAACGACCTTAACAATTAATACAAACCACATACAATGTATCTCTATATTACTCTGTACAAATGGACTTTGCACGTATATTTTCAATAAATAAATAATTAATTGAATTTAAATAAAATAATAATATAATAAAAAAAGGAGTATTTATAAATGATGAAGAACTTTTTGTTATAGTTTGTATCAATTATACCTTAAATCAGAAAGTATTGAAAAATAAAAAAAAGGGAATTTTAGGGTATGTTAAAAAAAAAAATAAAATGGTTTTTTGAGTTTCTTACGCCTAGATATTATCAGAGAAGTTAAACTTTGATCGATTCTGAGTATACATATATATAGTGAGTTCTTACAACTTTGACACGATAACATCTCACATTTCTCTTAATAGATTTCAAATACGCAATTTAACTTTACGCGCAGTGATTTCATGAAATTATTTTTCTTTTTATTGTTAATGAAAATTCCAAGCTATTTTATGTTAAGAGCATTTGAACCTTCGTGACGTCACAAATCATGGCGCATGACAAGCAAACTTCTCAGGTATGTGAAAAGCACAATTTTGAATATTTTTTAAAAAAACCTTTTGGAAAATGTTCAGAATAACATAGACTCTGTCTGTTATGTGCGGAAAATTCAAAATTTTACGTTTAAAACGTTTTTTAAACAATGTTAAGGTCACAAATCATGGCGCATGACACGCAAACTTCTCAGGTATGTGAAAAACACAATTTTGAATATTTTTTAAAAAAACCTTTTGGAAAATGTTCAGAGAAACATAGACTATGTCTGTTATGTGCGAAAAATTCAAAATTTTGCGTATAAAACGTTTTTTAAACAATGTTTAAGTTGGTTGTCACAAGTAAGGAAAAATACACGAATTGCTTATATGTAGGCATTGTTTAAAAAACGTTTTAAACGCAAAATTTTGAATTTTTCGCACATAACAGACATAGTCTATGTTTCTCTGAACATTTTCCAAAAGGTTTTTTTAAAAAATATTCAAAATTGTGTTTTTCACATACCTGAGAAGTTTGCGTGTCATGCGCCATGATTTGTGACCTTAACATTGTTTAAAAAACGTTTTAAACGCAAAATTTTGAATTTTCCGCACATAACAGACAGAGTCTATGTTATTCTGAACATTTTCCAAAAGGTTTTTTTAAAAAATATTCAAAATTGTGCTTTTCACATACCTGAGAAGTTTGCGTGTCATGCGCCATGATTTGTGACGTCACGAAGGTTCAAATGCTCTTAATATATGTTTGCTTTTATATATAATTTCAATATAAATTATTTATTTATTATTATTATTATTAAATATTATTGAATTATTATTATTATTAAATATTATTAAATTATTATTATTATTAAATATTAAATTATTATTATTATTATTAAATTAAAAATAAATTTTTAAAAATATAAAGCAAAAAAATTATTTTTTCAGGCGATTCTACATCGGAAAATATAGCACAGGGTGAAAAAAGATTGGGTGATCAAATACGAGCTATTTTGAAACATTATCAGCAAGATGATCCAGTGGGACTTCCTGGCGCTCCGGTTCCTGATCCAATGCCAGTACCGGATATGAAACATTCTTTTTCCATGTACACTATGACATTTAAAGAAATGCAAGTCTATGGATTGTCTAAATTTCGAATTGAACGTATGACATCTGAATTGGCAAAAATGCAGGTAATATTCGTTTTTATATTTTATATTTTCATTGATATTATATTTCAAGTAAGGGTGTATAAAAAATGGTATCATAAATTTAAAATATGCAAATGTAATATCTTGAAATTTTTATTTATTTATTTTTTTTTTTTTTTGCAATCTGCGATATCATAGGCAACTCTATTGAGAAATCGTTTGAAAAGTAATTTTTCCCACTGTCTCTCAAAAGAAAATATATAAAATAACCTTTTGCTTCCTCGTGGAGAAAGCTTTGTATAGTCCTTTCGTTTATAAAAATTTTCAAAGTGGCGGAAACAAATTTTTTTCTATATAGAAATATGTTATATGAGATCCTGATTAATTGTCCGGATGTATGTATCTGTGGATCCCTTTTTTGTTTAGACGATAACTTTAGGCTGCGTCTACAATAGATTAAAAAATGTGTACACTGAAAAAAAATTTATTTGATTCAAATACTGCAAATTATTTGAAAAATATTTAATTGGTTCAAATACTTTTTATTTGGATCAAAAAAATATGTATTTGATTCAAATAACTTGAATTATTTGAATCGCATTTATTTAAACCAAATACATCGTATTTGGTTCAATTAAATAATTAATTGAATTGAATAAATGAATTTATTTAATACAAATAATGAGTTACTTGAAACTATTCATTCATTTATTTCACTCAAATATTTCGTTTCATTTGATACAAATAAAAAGTATTTGACACAATAAATTTATGTAATTGATTCAAATAAACTGAATTATTTAATACAAATAATTCGTTATTTAATCCTAATACACTATTTTATCAAGACAAATAAAAAAATATTTCAATCAATTAAATATTTATTTGAAACGATAATAATGATTTACTTGAAACAATTAATTTATTTATTTCACTCAAATATTTCGTTTTATTGAAACAAATAAAAAGTATTTGATACAATAAATTTATTTAATGGATTCAAGTAAACTAAATTAATTAATACTAATACACTATTTTATCAAGACAAATAAAAAAATATTTCAATTTTTTTTTCAGTGTAACGATCGTGTAAAGTCGTGTTTCTTGTATGACTTAGAATATTGCAAATTAACTGCTGTTAATAAACAAAAACATAACCTTAAATTCAGATTTTTAATATTAATTTAATTAATTTAAATTAATTAATAATTAAATAATTAAATTAATTAAATATTAATTTACACATTTTTTAATCTATTGTAGACGCAGCCTTAACAGGTTTTAATGAATTTAGATAAAATTTGGTAGGCTCATTTATCATATTAATATCTCAAATCTGACCAAAGGATTTTAAAAAATACCAAAAAAATTTTATCGTCTTTTTTCCAAAATTTTTTTTTAATTGAAAAAATTTTTAAATAGAAAAATTTAAGGTTATATATAATAAAATCGTATTCCTTACGTCAAGACGAATAGATCGATATATATAAAGTATACATTTGAGGTAAATTTAAAGAATTAATGAAAGTTAAAAAATCAAAAATTCACATTTTGTCAATAAAATTTTGTGATTTTTTAAATTGAAGTTTATAGATGAAATAATTGCAATTCCTTGCATGAAAATGAATCGATTGGTTTATATAAAGTATACATTTGAAGTAAATTTAATAAATTAATGAAAGTTAAAAAAAAATTCCCATTTTAGCTGAAAAATTTTGTATTTATTTAAATTCAAGTTTAAATATAAAATAATTGTGTTCCTTACATTGAAACAAAGCGATATAATTGTAAATAATTATAAATTATATATTATTTTTCATTAATTTTCAGAAATTTCAGCTAAAATGTGAATTTTTGATTTTTTAACTTCCATTAATTCTTTTAAATTTAACTCAAATCTATAGATACTCAAATGTTTATATTATTATTATTATTATATTATTTTTATATGTTTATTTCAATGTTAATGCTTTCTCCACGAGGAAGCAAAATTTTTTTGCTAATCGTAAAGAGGAAACAAAATGTTCATATGTAATGAACATCTGAATTTACAACTTGTTTATTTTTTATTACAATTTATATATTTTACTCTGAATTTAGAAAAAAAAATTTTAATTCAATAAAATATTTTAAAAAATTAAGTACAATAAATATATTTTTTTTAAAAATAGAAAAATTGAAATATATTTTGTAAAAATTAAAATACATATATTTGAGTATTTAATATATTGAAAATCAATATTTGTAGGTATCGGTAAGACTCAGAATTGAGGCTCTTGATATTCGAGGATGGTATACTTTGTCCACTTGGCTATCGAGATCAGCCGGAAATTTCACAGTCAAGTTGTCTGGAGTAACAGTTGAGGGTATTGCAAAACTCCAAGTTGGAACAGATGGAAAATTGCATGCACAGGATATCGATATGGATTTAACTTTTGATAATATTGATATGGATTTTAAAAATCTCGGATTTCTAGGATCCGTCTTTCAAGGGGTTATCAATTCAGTTGGTGCATTCATATTCGATAGTATCAAACCATTCATTCTCAAAGAGGTCAATACTAATGTCAGGTGAGTTATTTAAAATATAATATTTCAAATTTATTTTCATCAACTATATATATATATTTTTTTTTTTTTTCACATATGAACATATTTTATATGCGAATTACTTTTTTTTTCCCCCCGATATAAATTATTAATTCTTTGATTATTTATTCAAAAAGAATTATTTTTGGACACGAGAAATAATGAAAATAAATGGGTCAATCTTTTTTACAGTATATATATAGATATACTCTCTAAATTTTGAAATAGTAAAAATTTGAATTTTTGGGAATTAGTTAAATTTTACTAAATTAGTATTTTTTGTACTATTAATTAAATTTTTTATAATTCAGATTTGAAGAGTGTAGATTTTAATTATTCTCGACAATTTGTATATATACAGTATGCGTTGGTTATTGCCTGTCAGAGCTTAAATCAATGTTCCTCAGGTTACTTTCGCAATACGAGGTCATTAAACTTTAAATTGCTTGAGGGCTAATCTCAGCCGGTAGAAAAAAATAACAAAGCTTTCGCAGTATAGAAATTTTTTCAAATGGCATTTTAAATGAACTTTTAATTATTTTTTTTTTTTAAGGGCAAAGATTTATTGCAGATTATTATCTCAAGCAACTCTCTAAATTGGAATTTAGTGAAATAACTCCCATAAAATCTTAGGTTATGTTTAGTAACAGTTAAGTTCTTTTTTAATTTGTCAAAATTAAAAAAAAATCTTAGGTTATGTTTAGTAACAGTTAAGTTTTTTTTTTAATTTGTCAAAATTAAAAATTTTTATTGAATATTTTGTATGAAAAAAAACTAAAACTACTTTTAGTAAAAATTTACTTAGTGAAAATTTTTAATTCAAATTTAGAGAGAAAGGAATAAATTGTATATTGGTTTTTATGATTGGTTTTTTTATTCTCTTTTTTTAGAGGCGAAGTCAATGGTCAAATTTCACAGTTACCACAATATTTTCCAAATTCAATATCACCTTTTGATATGGCAGTGGCTGAGGCTCGTAAGCAAGTTTCGGAAATGGGTTACGATCCATATCGAGTTAAAGATTATAGCCAAAGTGTTGGTATTTTTACAGTGACATCGTCACACACATGGGTTACAGGATTGGCTAGTTTTTATCGCATGGGAAATATAACTCTCTCTATGGAAAATAGAACTGTAAGTATATAATAAAAAAAAAAGGTTTCAATTATTTTCTTTTTTTAAATTTAATTATTTTAAATAATTACGCGCTATTTTTGCCTATGGGCCAATCAGGTGATTTCTATTCAATATAGGTTATGTTCGTTTCTGATTCTGCAATAAATAAATGCTTTGCAAATTTATATTACAGTAAAGAAAATTGTGCAAAATATATAAAACAATAATATAAAGTAATTTTAATAAAATGAATGATTTAAATGCTTTTGTAAGCGAAATTAATTTTCAAATTTAAAATTCGATTTTTATTCGACCATCGAGATATTTCGATACTTTTTTGAATGCACTAAAAGAAAATTAAAAAAGTTTCTTCATTCTTTACTGTATTTTCTATTTTAGATTTATTAGATACATTCTTATCGATATTTTATTTTCAATGAAAAAATTGAGGTTATGTTTTTTCACGAAAAATAAAATATATGCAAAAATACAATGACAGAGTTTAATAACTTTTTTCTGTTCCATAAAAAAAATGTTTTATCTTCATAAATTTTTATATATTTTTCAAAAAAGTAGACATTAATTAATTTTATCGATAATACTCTTTTTTGTGTGAAAGAGAGAAAAAAAAATATTTTTAATTTGAAAAATATAACATTTAAATAAATTTTTTTTTCTAGAAAAAAAAATAAAATAAACGAATTTTGTAGGTTTATGCAGTATTAGATGTTGGCACTCAGGAAATCGAAGGAAGGACTCACTGGGATGTTAGTATGATAGGAGGCGTTTTATCTAGAGCAGGAACCGTATCCTTTACTGTCGATTACTTTAGAGTTCAAGTCAACCTCAGTCAACCTTTGGACACACGAAAACGTGCCACTTTAGAGGAACTCGATCTTGAACTGGGCAATATTCAAACTAGGATACATGGAGCTGGAACTTTCGACTATGTAATAGAAGCTGCAGTCAATATTTTGCCAAATCTCTTAAGGTATCAAACATTCTCTATATAATAAATTTGATTCAATTATTTTATATTATTTTTTTTATTATACATTATAATAAATTTATTCTATCTACTCTAAATTTTAATTAATTCTTAGCATCTCAGTATTGTATGTAAATATTATTATCATTATTATTAATTATTAATTAATAATTATTGAGTTTAATATTATTGGAGTTAAAATTTTATTGAACAAATTCTCTATTCGAGTAAAGTGAACTCGATATTACAATATATAAATACCGATATTATTATTATTAATAATATTAATTTGAAATTTGTTAGTTTATTGTTTATGATTGAATGGATATAGTTCAAAGAGATGTTTCTTTATTAAAAGGTATCAAATAATGGACGCTATAGAAGGGCCAATTAAGAGACGTATACAAGCAGAATTAGATAAGGTTGATGTTGAGAAATTGATTCACGAGAAAATACCTGATATCGAGGAACAGGCAAGATTGCTCCAGGGCCTGCCTCCTATTGAGGACGTTATTGATCAACTTACTGAAATCGAAAATCAGGATCCTTTTTCCGAAAGTGAAGAAGATCGTGGTCCGTCTTAAATTTCATTTTACTAATATTTTTTTATATTATTTGCAAAAAAAAAAAAAAAAATTAGAATTGCCCTAAAATTCTTTTTTTCAGTAGAATTTTAAAAAAATACAATTTTTCAAAAATAGATTTTTTTAAATAATAATATTATATTATTGTAAATTCAATTTTTTAATCGAGGGCTTCATCTTTCATATCTTCATACATGAGGTCCAAAACAGTTTTCTTATCAGATTCTTGAATACCTGAAAATTGAAATTTTTTTTTTTGAAATACTACTTTTTCAACTATTAATTAAAATTACATTAAATTATTGCGTATAGATTATATATTTTTTTTAGAACTTACTACAAAAAGGTGTTGTTCCTGAAGTAAGACTAAAAAATGTTCCTCTTTGTGTATAATGCTCTGAATTAATTCCCATTTCTGAACAATTAGTAGAATTACAATTTTCCTCAATTATTTTAAGGGCATTTCTATAAGTCAAATCCCACTGATGACTCCAATAAGTACAATTATTTTTAACTGACGATATTATTGAATCAGTGAAATAAGAATAGGATCTTCCATGACTACATATTGCTTGATTAATTACTGTAATAAAAAAAAATTAATTTTTTTAACTTTCTCAATAATAATAATGAATTTTATTTTACCATTTTGTGGAAGTTTAATTGTGTAATATGATTTCGAAATTACACATCCTGGTTGTATTTTACCACCATTAGGATAGAAATCAACGTGTCCTGATGTAAATGAAAAATTTTTTTTTAATGATTTTATTTTTTATTTTTATTTTAATTTTAATTACTTTGTTGTTATTATAATTACCAATTGGTTTTGGTATACCAAGTCCAAGACTTGTTAAAAAACGTCCATTTGTATGAATAACATCAACAAATGGAGCATCACTTTTATCTAAATATAAATCTAGATCTGTATTTTTAAAACATGGTTGTGCAGGATCCAATCCAGTTATCCTATTAATTTTCCATTTTATTGGTGATTTTCTTATTAAATTCGCTGCAAAACTGCAGATATGTGCCCCAAGACTATGGCCAATAAAATGAATTGCACCCCATTCATTTTCAGGTGGTCCTTGAGAATTTATTGTTGAATTTGCTAAGTGATCAAAAAACCTAGTGGAATATATAATTTTCTATTTAGTTTTATTTGTAAAAAAAATTAACGAGAATTATAATTAAGAGTCTAAAATGTGAATAAAAAAAAAAATGTTCTTACTTTCCTATACAATTTCCAACGAGTTTTGTATTAATAGCCGCTTTATAGTAATTCCAAGTATTACTTCCTTCACTCCAATCAACAGAAACAACATTTACATCATCCTAAAATATTATTTTAAAAATTACAAATACACTCAGAAAAAAGATATGTTTGAACCAAATGTACCATTTTTTTTATATTTACCCAATTTTTTGGTTAGTTCAAACAAAATTTGTTTAATTCAAATAAATATTTATTTGATCTAAATAACTGTTTAGTTTATTTTAATAAATTTTTTGAACAAAGAAAAAAATTGAGCTAAATAAACGTTTGGTTTATGCAACCAAATGTTTGGTTAACTGTATAACAATGCATTTATTTTGTTGATTTAACCAAAATTTGGTTGCTTCAAACAAATTTTTTTCTGAGTGTATATTGATAAAAATTAATTTTCCAAATCACTGACCCATAAAAGAAAAGCCTCTTCCATTTCTTTAATCCAATCTTCATCGCCATTTGATAAAAATCCATGAACAATAACAATTGTTTTACGTCTAATATCAAAATCAGTCCATTCCAATCCAAATTGATCACCAATTAATACTTTATCTCTATGAGATTTTCTACGTGAACGAATAAAAAATCTTGTAAACAATGGAGTTTCTTGTTTTTTAAAAAACCATTCAATAGTTTTAGCAAATATTTTTCCAAAACCAAAACAATCGACAATGATATTTTCATTGTTTATTATTTCTGATGATTGATCATTTGATTTATTTGCAATGGTAAAAGTAAAATTTTCATAATCCTTTAATGTTACATTGATATTATTTTTTTCACTAGTAGATAAATGACTATTTTTAATAATATTTATTATAAGTAAAAAAATGAATATTATTCTCACAAGAAAATACATATTTCAATATATATGATTGACTTGAAACTAAAATGCCTTCATGAGTTTAGATAAAAGTTTTGTTCATTTTTTTTTTTTATGTTTTCTGATATAAAATGACCTTGATTTTGAAATAATGTCTGTTAAAATAGTCATTTGTCAATATAAATTTTAAGTGATTCATGTTTGTCTAAATGACGTTTATCTTAATATTTTAAATGCGACTTATTTTTTTTATGTATATTAAATTTACAAGAAAGTCACGTCATATTAATATTAAATTTTTTTTAAATCTGTCTGACTAGAACTGTCTTTTACTACTGATATTCAATTTATAATTTAAAAAAAAAATCAAATGTCTGGCGTGCGACGACTGACCTTTACTACTGATAGTACTATTATTTTCGCAAACATTACATTTTTTTCACTGTAAGTTGTAAATGCAATTAAACGAAAAATTATTTGATTCAAATAATATTGGTTATACTTGACAAATAAATTTTTTTTTTTAGTCGAATAATTTTTATTTGTATCAAATAAACTGTAATTGAATGTAATTTTTGTATGTACAACAACAATGAAAAGAAAAATGTGTAAAAAATCCTAACCTTTAATTTTATGTATGTATTTGTTATAACATTTTTGTATTCGATGAAAATATTTAATTTTCTATTTTATTTTAAAAAAATTTTCATTGAAAGTTGTAAATTTTTTGTAAATATTTGATTTTTTTTCTTTTTTTTTTCTTCTTCAGAGAGTAAAATAGAAAAATCTATTTGAAGAAATTATAATTTCCAAGAATTTTAATATTGTTATCGAAATAAATTTGAAGTTTTATTACCCTTTATACCTGCATCCCAATTCAAGTACAGGTATAAACAAATTGTTTACATTCAAATACCGAAAGGTATATCGAAAGTCGCGAAAGCCATAAACATGGCAGGCAAATGCTGAAGATAATTAAATTATTTCCAATTCTTGTCTTGATCTGTGCAGACGTGATCCAGTGATAAAATTTTGAAAGTGTTAAATTTTTTTTTTTTGCCATTTATATATTCCGGGAGTGTTCGAAAATTTTAAAATCGTGATCGCTTAAAAAAAAGTATTTAAAAAAAAAAGTTTTTCTGAGTTTTCGAAATTTTTTTAAATCGCGAGTGTTTTCTACAATATATAAAACATCGGTTTGAAGGCTAAGGTTGGAGATATCTTTTTTTATTATTAATAATAATTACACGAAAAGAAAAAGTGTTAAAAATATTTTAATAGTGTTTTAAAAAATAATTTCCAATTAATTTTTTGTATTAAAATACGATTAATACTTTTTCTTTTATACCATTCAATTATATTTTATAACAAATTTTTTTTTTGAAAATTACATTAATTTCTTTTTTTTTTGACGAAAAAGTTAATACAATTTTAAATATCATGAAATTATTCTTCAAATTTATTAATTACATTTAATAATTAAAAATAGTTTTATTAAAATATTTGTTTTAAAAATGATTTTTTTTTAAATAATAATTTTTATATTTTACATTATCATGAAAATTCCAGATATTTCAATCTGGGAAATAATATTTTTTAATTTTCATGAATTTTAAATGTTGAAATGATTTTGAAATTATATGACCTTTATACCTGAATCCCAATTTGTATGTTTATATAAATAATGCTAATTAAGGTGAAGGTCATAAACACTGTGGTTGGAAAAACCAAAAGATAATTAAATTCATTGCAATTTGTTTATTCACCTGGTTATATACTATATATATTTATTTAAACTAAATAACTTTCTAGAATGTTGATTTTTTTTTTTTGATGAAAACAATAAAAATTATCAATAGAAGCAATAAATTAATAATTTTCTAGTATATAAATAAAAAATATTGAAAATAAATCGGAAAAAATATTTTTTATGAATAGTTGGAAAATCTGAAATTTTCTTATGAATTTTCAATGGCCACTGTGTATTATATCAATTGATATTAAAAAACAGATATAAAGTTAAGGTATGAATTTTTCATTTCGTGAGCAATATAGAGATTTTATTTATTTATAAAGCATAAGTAACGTCATATCAAATTATACGTAGGGTAAATCTAATTAAAAATTATGTATAATTAAAAAAATAAATCGAGATATGATTAATTTAAATTTTAGAAAAAACCCTTCAGATTTTATAGCACTTGAGATATTTATAAAAAATATATAAGTAAAAAATAATACTAAATGAGAAATATTAATGTAAACATGGCTTCAATATGATTATTTTTTAAATGTAACTTTTGACGAATGTAATTTGATTAAAACAGCTATTAAAGCTGTTGACTGAAACTATCAACTACTGACTAAAACTACAATCTACCGAAAACATCACTGACTTGGACAATTAATTTAAATTTTTTTAAACAGTTGAAGGTATAATTGACTAATTGACGAAATCAACAATCAAAACCTCTGTTGACTGTTCTCGAAGTTCTCATTGACTGTAAAAAGCAACAAGAGACTATTGTCTGTAATGACCAGCAATTGAAGTTGACATTGTTTGAAAAAAACAGTACTTGTAGCCATCTTGACTATGTAAGAAGCAACAACTGAAGCTATCCAAGTCTGTAAAATCAGCAAGAAGTTATCTTTGTCTGTAAATACCAGTAATTGAAGCTTAAAAAAAAATGTTCGGATTAATTTCGGACAACATTTTTAATGTTTGGATTAAATTACTAGCTCTTGGACAGAAATTACCATACATTAAAACTAAAAATAAGCTATCAAATAAACTGCAAAAAGCAGCAAGTAACTATCATTGTCTGTACACGGAAAAAAAGAAAAAGTAACTTTTACTACTTTAAAAGTAAAATTGGACCTGTCCGAAGTTTCTGCGCATCTCTGGCAACTTTTACTCCAAAAATAGTAAAATTTACTTCAGAAATAGTAAAAATTACTACGGAAACAGTAAAATTTACTATACAGAAATAGTCAATTTGACTATTTTTCGAGTAAAAGTTGCCAGAGATGCGCAGAAACTTCGGACAGGTCCAATTTTACTTTTAAAGTAGTAAAAGTTACTTTATTCGTTTTTCCATTTTTCTCCGTGTAATAACCAGCAATCGATGCTTTTCGGTTCGATTGAAATTACTATAGTACTTGATGCTACTAAGACTGTAAATCAATCAACAATCCAGCTATCATAAACTGAAAAAGCAGCAATATGTTATCATTGTCTGTAAATATCAGCAATCGAAGCTATCTTTTTCTAGTTCATCAAGTTAATTGTTGCAGACTATCAGCATATGAAACATATAATCATTTGTCTGGAATACCAACAACTTTTTAATTATTAATTAATTACAAAAAACTATTGAAGCTTTTGTTTACAAGTGTTGATTAAAAATTATTAATTTTTTTCTTAAACAGCATTGAAGCTATTGTCGTCTGAGGATTTGAAGCTTTTTAAAAAAAGTAACGCGAGAAAAAGATGCGCGATCAGGATCCATAATATATTCTAAACTTAGAAAATAATATATTTATTATTTGTATTTTTGATATTTTTTAAAAGATTTGTTACACAGAAAAAACGATTAAATTTTGTCGTTGGTAATTTTTCACCAATTTTCACAGACGATGGCGCCTTTAACTAGAATAAAATTTGTTACAGTTTTTATAACGATTAAGGGGTAAAAATCCTTTTATTCGTGTGAATTTACAACTTATGATTTTCTATTAAAAATCTGTTATTAATTTTATTTTTCTTTTTGCGATTTTTTTTTTGTTTTCATCAAATAAAAAAAATTTTTTTTTGCGTTTAGTGTTTTTTTTTTAAATATGAAATTTATCAGATCAGATTATTTTAAATTACATAAAATTATTTTCTTAATAATTAACAAAATTGTCAATTATTAATTTGCATCACCATTTTCCAATAAAATTGAAAATACCAAATGTAATTAAATCTGAAATCTAAAAATAATTCGATAAATCAATATCAAGAAATTATAATTTCTAATAATTTTAAATGTTGTGGAAATAAATTTGGTCTTAGTACAGTAAACAAATTGTTTACATTTTAAAACAAAAGTTATCTCAAACCACAAAAGCCATAAAGCCATAAAATCCCAAAGATATTTCGAGTCTTGACTTGTTGTGACGTGATTGTTGTGTAGAATTAATAAATAGTGTTTTTATATTTTATAGTGAATTGTGAAGTGCTCAATTTTTTTGTAATTTGTGAAAAAAAATTTTTGAAAGTGTTTTATTTTTTTCCGGTAGTGTTTGAAAATTATTTAAATCGCGTGTGTGATTTCTTCTACAACAAAATATGATGCATCAGTTGCAGGCTAAGGTAGGAGATATATTTTTTTTTATATAAATAATAAGTAAGTACATACAATTGTTTTTTTTTACGAAAAAAATTTTAAATAACCCGGAATTTAATTCGAAAGTTTCAATGGCCAGCCAATCGATAAGGTATTATTTCTATTTTGTTGGAACATTTGGAGGTCTTTTTCCGTTTATATGGACAAACATAATAAATGGTTTGTTTAAGAAAGAATAGCGAAAAAAAAATAAAAATAAAAATAAAATCTGAGGTCGAGTGGAATTGATTCTGTAGGTTTTTAAAAAATAGAAGACATGTATTTTGGCTCTTCTCCAATTCTAGATATATACAAGAATGGTTCACATTTTTTTTTCCTATATTTTATATATATATATATACACTTAATTCAATTTTTTTTCTTTTTTAAACGATAAGTTGTTTATTCAACACCCAAAATTTAAATGTTAATTAAAAAATTCTAATTATTTAAAACTTGTCTTTTTGCTTAGAAATTAAATATTAAATTTGGAAAAATAATATTGTATAATAAAATAAAAAGATATTCAAAAAATAACTAAAAATAGTCAAATTAGACTAATTTTATTATAAATTTTATTCACAATTTGTCATTTTGATAAAAGAAATAAATTTATAATTATAGATTTTAATTAAATGATTAGTAGAATTACACAACAATTATTTGCATAAAATATCAATTACATTAACTTAAT